CATACAACAACTGCATGTATTTTTTTATCGTCTTATACACTCTCTCTTGCACACACCACACACCACTCTCTCTCCTCTTCTTCTCTCCTTATTATGGTTTATCAATTTTCCTTTTGCCTCTGTTTCTATTTTCTATAATCCCAGTTCAGTTTCTTTCTTCCTTATACTGTCTGCCTAGATCCCCACTTTGCTGTAATACCATCCGTTATTCTGCATACCTTCGTTATTTCCTTCCATTCTCCATACCTTCCTTTCCATCCCTCCTACCATTTATACTCTCGTATACCTTCCTTTACATTCCTCCATGCCCTTCTATCCATCCCTACTCCCCCCAAACACTCCTTTTATCCCTCCTCTCTCCATACCCTCCTTTTTATNTCCTTTTCATGACTCCTCCCCTCCATACCCTCCTTTTCATCCTTCCTCCCCTCCATACCCGATCCTTTTTATCCCTCCTCCCCCCAAACACTCCTTTTATCCCTCCTCTCTCCATACCCTCCTTTTTATCCCTCCTCCCCTCCATACTTCCTTTCCATCCCTCCTTTCCTTCCCTCATTCCCTCCATACCCTCCTTTTCATCCCTCCTCCCCTCCATTACCCTCCTTTTCATCCCTCCTACCCTGTATACCCTTTCCACGTCCAAGCTGTATCCCCTATCCATCCACTCTTATAGAGTACCCAAGTCTTGTTACCTTCAATCTTTATTTTACCTCAAGATATTCACCTATACTACGTCTACCCCCGATGTTACTTGAGTGTTACGATGTTACCTTTAAGGCCCTAATGTTACCTCTAGCACGTCAATGTTAACTTACATGCTCCTGTGTTACCTCCCAACCCCATATATATCCCACCTTCCATGGTTACCATGTTACCATGTTACCTTCCATATTATCTTCTTATTTCTCCTTGTAGTCTTCTGAAAGTTTGCAACACCAAGTGTTTAGAGTATACCTCTCTCCTTCTCAACAAATTTACAAGTCACAGTTTTACAATTATTGCGTAAATGCAAAATTTGAGTAATTAGAAGTAAATAGCTCAATTAAACCATGACACCCCACCCCCTGTAAGGTTACAACAACACCAGTTTTCGACCCACACACTATCACCACCTCACTCAAATATTTTGAAAAAAATATACAAATAAATACAGAGAAATTTAGTTCCAAAACGAAATTTTGACATTTCTATAAACACTAAGTGTTTAAAATGGGCCAAACTGCAAAGTTATCTTTTTCAAGCGTCGTATGTCTAAATATTTCAATCCAAGCCGAGTAGAACAAAACTGCAGAACATATTTATAAAAAACGGGTAATAAATGTGTATTGAAACAAGAAATGCCAACTTTAAACTGATAAGGCGCATTTCAGCTTTACAATTATAAATTAATAGCTGAAGGGCCCACCTTGCCCGTGGAATTAACAAACAAAATTAGATTTTTGAAAAAAAAAGATTTTAGAAAAGCACAAATTTTAGAATCTTTTTTAGCCTATATTACCCCCAGGGTAACCATGAGTGTCCGCAAAAAAAATTCAGCCCATTCGGTCCAGCCGTTTGGCCGGCCAGAGGGAACACATACACGAATGTCTTGCATATTTTATTATATAGATTTATGGCATTGAGAAATTCTAATATTAATATTAATTTTGCTTTTAGAAATACGGAAAATTGCTTGTTTAAATTCACTTACTTATTTAACAAATAGAATATGGAAATCTATATTTTTTACATAATTATATATATACACATCTGAATAATTAGTTTTAAATTCAATAGAATTATTTACAATCTGAGTGAAATAAAGCAACTTCGTAAATTTATACCCCCTGTCATTTTTCGCAAACTGTCCCTTTAATGCTTGTGTGTAAATTTAGAACCAGAGGAGCTAGGAGATCACAAAGCTTTCTTCTAGTTTGCAATGGTTAGTCCGAAATCTAACTTCTAGAAAAGTTTAATAATTTTACGAATAAAATCGTCAATTGTGTTGCATGTGATCATGTTTTCCAAATTATTCATTATATATTATACAAAGTACTCTACAGTGTTTGTTTATGTTAAAATGTTAAACAATGTAATTTTATTATGAAGGGGAATGAATGAATAGTATTCGTTTGTTCAAGGGTAATTTTAACGTAACAGATTTACAAATTAAGTATTTGTATTAATTTTAAAAAAATGGTTTTAGAAACAAAGTTTTGCTTTAGAATAATGAACAAAGTTTTAAATTTTTAAATTTTAGATTTTAATAATGTTTGAGAATGTCATAAAAAATGGCGTTTTGATCGTTTGGAATCTTTTTTATTTAAAACTATCATCTATTAGCCATGACAATGAAAACCATGACGTAATGTTTTGGACATCGTTTTTATTGATTTAACCACATTTAATGATCGTTAACGAAGGTATGTCGTTAACGATCGTCAAAAATCAAAAACATCCAACCTTCTTTGACAAAACGACAAAATGAAAAATAAAAAAAAATACTACTACGTTTTTTTATTTAAAAAAAAATTTTAAAAAACGATGGTTTTTCAAAAAATAGAAATTTCCAATCTCTAGCCACATAAAGATCTGAAGTATAGATCTAGATATTAGCGTCAAAGCATGAAAAGCATATGATTTATGTAAATCTCAATTTCTTTCAATTTCCTACAATTACAAATGTTTTTAAATTAAAGAAACTTTTAAAATTTAACCCAATTCCTTTTTCTAAGGGTTTACGTTTTACTTATGAATTTGGCCTATGTGAGATTTTACAAAGAGGTAATTAACCTTTTCGATTGTTTTGAGCCTATATACATGCACCAGAGCTGGGAACTTTAGAATGGGATACCATTTATCCCGACGGCTTAATCCTAATATCCAATGTGGACACTTTTGATATCTTGCTTAATTCACCCTTTTTTGGATATAGCACAGAAAAATCAAAAACCGGTTTTTTGAAATTAAAAGTCCTTCCCGTTTCTTTATATTAATCTTAAATGGCGCTCAAAATTTGAAATTTACCGGCTTCTGATACGCGACTCTAATTGGTTGAATTTTTTACACTTTTCAGGATTCAAGTACAAGATTAAGTTGGTCTCGAGATTAAGAAAAAGAGAGGATTAAGCCTTAATCTCGATATCCACCATTCTAACGTTCCCAGCTCAGATCTCGTACAAACATAAAAATGTAAATTTTGAGTTCAAATCTAAAGATTTGAAAAATATTGAAAATGTTCGAAGTACGGGTAAATTACAAAATATGAGAACCTAGCACTAAAAGTATATATTTTTATTTTGTGTTTTAACATATTTATTTGATAAGAAATGGTTTGAGTTCAGTTTAATGTAAACAAAAATTAAAAAAAAGAGAAATGCATGACAATGACAAATGGTTCACTTAGACTTTAACCAACAAGAGAAACAATGGTGAGAGGTTTCGTGAATTTAAATATCTCACGAGAATACCTGAATCTGAAAGAGTTATTTGATTTTTACAAAACTATTCCGACTGACGTCTGGTTTACCCAAAATAGACCAGGGGGAGGGGGTGTAACTGTAACCCCACCCCCTTTTCTATTTCAATCTTGTGATACAAAACTATAACGTTTAATACATTTTTTGAAAACTATTGGATTCTACTTCAATAATAATCTGAAGATAAAAATTGCAAATTTGCAAAATTTATATATTTACTTCCAAATCTAGTTATTTAGCAAAAAGTGTGTAAAAAACAAAAATTTGCGAAATATGACAAATTACACATATTTGAAAAGCCCTTGACCCAGCGAATTCAAATATGCAAATTTTCAAAAACTAAATGTGTATTAAAAAATATTTGCGCAAATTCCCTTTAATGACGTCTGTGCAAAAATCTAAGTAAAATTTATTTGCAGAAATTCTGCAATCTGCTTCATTTCGTTATAGGCTTTCCAAAGAGCTATAAAATGTTGAAATCCAATGACTGGAGGTAGGTCTAAATATAGATTTAGTCTGGTTTAGGTAAAATAAGGTATTCAGAAATTCTTTATGATGAATATTATTCAAAACACTGCAACTGACTTGTTCCCATAGCATGGGTGGCTGATCATCTCGGATTTTTCATATTGGTGGATTTGCTATTTTATAAACTGTTTAAAAAGTCTCAATTTATTTAGTGGACAACCTTTAGGGTACAAATTAAGAAAGGTGAAAGCTGAAAGCTGAAAGCCTTTTATTTGATAGAGTTTGGTAATCTCAGAAATGATTGGTAAATTTAAATCAAACCCAGCTAAAACCAATAATTTGATATACTTCATGAAGGAGGTTGTTCAAAGTACATACATGGTCTAGAGGGGAGGGGGGGGGGGACATAACATTCTTAGGGAGGTTAAACAAAAGTCGAAAACGTTAAAATTTACCCACCCTCCTAGAAAATCCTTATTTACGCCCCTGCATAACATACTATTACTAGATTAATATCTTAAATTTGTTAAACTAATAGTTTCTAATTTTTGTCTTTTGTTTTCATTTTGTTGAATCAACTTTTAGCTTATTTTTTTAATTCATTGCATGTCCTGTAGTCATTTCAATAATTGGTTGGTCATTGCCATTAGATGAATTAAAATAGACTTGGGACATTTTATAGATAACAAAATAATTGATTTGCCATCTATTATATATAAATTTGGCTTCCCATGGGGATGGGGGTCCCTGGCTTCATTTATGGTTCATGAATAGGACATTTCATAGATTTCCTAAATAGGACATTTTATAGATGGTGTTATAGACATTATTCAGATGAAATTTCATGGATAGGAAATTTCACGGAGAGGTCATTTCATAGATAGGGCATTTCAAAGATATGACATTTCAGAGAAATGAAAACCTTTTAGATCAAACGGAATACTAGGAATGCTCGGAATATAGATATTGTTAAACCTTAAACCTATTACATTTCATATATTCGATATGTGTGTGAAATATATTATCATATAAAAAAATGTTTTGCACTGCAGAAAGATGTGTCCAAGCAATAGTTTCATTTTTTTTCTAAAACAGGTACTTTTTTGAATGGGGGCCACACATTGTAAGTTGTTTTCGCAAAGTTTTGATATTTTTTACGAAAACTGAAAGAGGGGGTTTTCTAGTTTTCAAGTGTACCTATAAACATGATCGACTGATCGTCGACGGCGGCCGATAACTCCGTCATGTGTTTACTGTTTATCTCTAAAATGGTTTTCAAGTTTCTAGAAGCTGGAGTGTACGCTAGCGTACAGCATTAACTCGTAACGCCGCAGCTGACTTTATATAAATATTTCTCGAAAATTCCGGATAATCTCTGCCCAACCCACGATGATGCGGTTTAAAAATATTTGAATAAAATATTTTTTTGTTGTGACTTCTGGAAATTAAACATCAATATTTCCACAAATATGGAGGGTTACTTAAAAATACTTCTACATTCCGTTCAAAGTTTTATTTATTAATTAAATAAATCGGCGGCAGAGACAACATATTTCGCAGAATATTGAAATTATTCTTGGATTTCTGACGGGGCATTTGCTCCAGCAAAAATCCGCCAAAGTTGGTGCAAAACAAGTTCTGCAAATGAGTTGCAGGAACCAGGGGAAATCAGCAAGTCAAGTTCAAAGTTAATTAAAAATTATTTTGATAATTACTGAGATTCAACACTCGGGCCGTCAATACTCTGAGCCGGGAACTCGTGTATTGTGGATATCGAGATCAATGTTTGATCCCAATATTTTGTTAATCTTCAGATTAATTTAAGCCACGGAATTTTGAGTCCAACCAATGAGAGCACAGATCAATTGCAGATATTCGAAAAAAGACATGAGACATTTTGATCGTGAAATTCAGATGTGCCCACTGCGGTTATTGAGATCAAGCTATCTGTATCATGGGTGTCCAATACAAGTGTTCCCAGCTTAGGTTCTCTTCATAACACATGCATGCGTATAACAATGAAATGAGCGACGAGGCCACAAAGTCATACCAGTATTAACTTCATGAAAGAACAAGGTAACAGAAATTTAACAAAAAAAATTTGCTTCTGTTTGTTAATTTATCTATCAATATTCTCATTTATGAAAATGATTTTTTTAATGCAGTTTATTTAAACTAGTTTATGAAGAACATAAAAAACAAAACAGAGAGAAACTGTGAGAAACAAAAATCTCCAACATGTTATTTTATTCAATTGAGGTCCCACAAAAAAAATTTCTAAATCGTTTTCACTTTTTTTTGGGATTTTGGCATAAAAAATCAATAAAAAAACTACAAACTAATACATATAGAACTAGGAGAGCCTCGAGGTATACTGTTAATGATGCAGAACTTAGATATGCAAGATTTGCAGCCTAAAGTACATACAGCTTGCAGAGCAAACCAAATGCAATTTAGTAAACTATGTAATAAAATGGCAGAAAGGTTTAAAAGTATTTTCAGACGAGTGATTTAAATAGATTTGACAGGATTGTTATTAAAAAGTATAGTAGTGTTTAAATTAAACTTAATTAAAAACAACAAATTATCTAATTTTTTACAATTTTCAAAACATAGTTTTTAAATATTTCAAACTCTTGGACTTAACCAAATTTTGCCCTTTGTCCTTGTCCTTTTGGCCTTTTCCTTTTGGCCTTGTCCTTTTGGCCTTTTCCTTTTGTCTTGTCCTTTTTTCCTTGTCCTTTTGTCCTTGTCCTTTTGGCCTTGTCCTTTTTTCCTTGTCCTTTTGTCTTGTCCTTTTTTCCTTGTCCTTTTTTCCTTGTCCTTTTGTTCTTGTCCTTTTGTCCTTGTCCTTTTGTCCTTGTCCTTTTGTCCTTGTCCTTTTGTCCTTGTCCTTTTGTCCTTGTCCTTTTGGCCTTGTCCTTTTGTCCTTGTCCTTTTGTCCTTGTCCTTTTGTCCTTGTTCTTTTGTCCTTGTCCTTTTGTCCTTGTCCTTTTGTCCTTGTCCTTTATTATCCTTATCCTTATCCTTATCCTTATCCTTATCCTCATCCTTATCCTTATCCTTATCCTTATCCTTATCCTTATCCTTATCCTTATCAATTTGTTGCACCATTATCCTTTTCTTGTCCTGTCCATTATTAAAGGATGAAACTGAATTATTAGTCCAAGTTTTGATCCTGTCTGCCAATAATTTTGCAATGTTTTTGCAATAGTTTAACAAATGCATCTTTATATTTTCGCTTGAATCCAATTCTATGTCACGTGGTCTCTAACAAAAAAATCATAACTCATTAGGGTTGCCAATGTAAGATGGATTTTACTTTTGCGGGCCCAGTCTCACGTGCAAACCTGCGTATTCAGCACAATGCCGCGAAATATGAGAACAGTGGCGCGAAATATTTTCGCGAAAATTTCACATTTCGCGAAAATATTTTGCAAAAAAACTGTTTGCGAAAGTTTTCGCGAAAAACAATTAATTGAGCAAAAAAAACTTGTGGAATTCGCTGTTCTGAGAACTCAACATTATGAAGTTTTATAGTACTTTATTCATAATTTCTCTTCATTTACTTTTATAAATGTTTAATGAAATGAATTTGATTTCTCTACCTGTCTGAGTTTCTGTCCGTCCGCGTACACGTACATTCACCCAAATCCAGCTATACATGAGCCAGCCAGCCAGATAGTAATTTTACAGGCTGAATTTAAAACATGTTCCGAATTATTTTTGTTCTTCCCGTAATAAATTTTATTTTGTGTTTAAGAAAGAGATTCAAACGGTTAAGAAAGTATTGATAACTTACAAGCAAATCTAAGAATCGTCTCCTAGTAGTTCTTAAATCTATACATTACATCACTTTATATTTCGAGCAGGATAAATCCATAGAAAACTTTTTATTTGCGGAATATGCATTTTATGTTCTAAAATTTGGTCTTTTTTGTAAATTTTACAAAAATTTTCCATTTTTTAATACCGTAGTTCTTCGCAGACATTTTTCATTTTTTTTCGCGAAATTTTCGCATTTTTTCGCGAAACAGATTGAAGCGAAATTTGGCAAAAAGCGAAAATTTTCGCAATTTTCGCGAGCAATCGAAATGCGAAACATTCTAGTTGAACGGCTTTTACAGAAAAAGTTTAATTTACAGGCAAAGTTGTGTTCCCTCAAGCTAGTTAATGTATTTGATTTTAAAATTGATGGCAAAGGAACTGATTACTCATCCCCAACTCTATCTTTCTATTTCTTATATTATTGAATCCTGATGATGTAGATCCGTGATATTTTAACCTTTAAATTGTTCATGGTCCAAATTGGCAAAGTTTTTAATATCAAAGGTTTGCACAATCAATTTGCAAATATATATATAAGTTGTTGGCGAATATACAGTTCGTTTAAAAATCAACAAATAAATCAACAAATTTATTTTTTAAAACTTCCATGGAGAGTTTAAATTAAATTAACGGCTATGTATAATGTATAACTGTTCAAATATTATTTTTGCTAATATTGTAAAATTATTGTGTATTTAAATAATTTAAACAATTCTACGTAATTAATGTTTATATCCTATTAAATTAATGAAATGGATCATAAACAAATTATAATTAAAATAATAATGGCAAGTCTGAATAAAATATAAATGCATGTTTATAAGCAAAAGGGAATTTTATCATAATTTCAAGTGTTTCTCTATATTATTCGAGCCCCAAAAAATATTCACAATCTTATCTATTTGTTTACAACTAAAATTGTTTGAATGTTCTAGAAGTTATAACTTTTTTAATAACTATTAACTAATAAATTATTTTGTTTTTCAAATTTGCTAAAATTCACGAATATATGCAGGGTCACCCACTAAGGAGGAGACTTTAATGACGACCTTTAACTGTTGAAAAATCTTGAGGGGAGGCCTTTAAGGTCATTATATATTACAGTAATACAGGATTAAAGCTTATGGTCCCTTTCCGTTTATTTAAAATTTTTTAATTTAATTTTTTTTTAAACAATATTATTCCTTAAGATAAATACAAATTTTCTTTATATTTTAAGTTTAATGCTAGTAAATTGTATATTGTAAAATTAAACTATAAACTATAATACAAGCTGGGGGGGCTGTATCCGCCATTGTGTAATGTAAACTTTGTAGAGGGCAGGCAGGTCCTGCACCCACTTTGATTTAAGAAACTTTAAAAGGTTAAAATCAAAAGTTTACATTGGTAGCCTCATTTGCAATTGGAGAGAAATAGCTGCCCCCTGGACCCAACTAGGGTTTCCACGAAATGACCATATTTTTTGCGCAAAATTTGCTCAATTTTCGCGGAAATATAAAAAACGTAGATTTTTACGCAACAAATAAAATTTTTCAGCAAATTGACTAAAATTGAGAGTTTCGGTCAAGTTTCAGTGCACAATTAATCAACTGAATGTTTATTCAAAATTTCAAATTAAGGGACAAAAATCAATAAAATAGAAATTAGAAAATTGAAAATTTATGCATATTATAGTCATCTTTTAGGTGTCTCAATCTTTGTGTGGTGGCAACCTTAGATATTTCAAATGTTGACTACTGATCTAGTCGAATGTATATGATTGAAATATCAAAGGGTTCATGCCCACTGAGTTATAGACTACCCTGAGTTATTAAATTTCTATATAGCCTCAACTTTGAAGTGTCTCAACGCCTTGGCCTTTGGTTTATACCTCACAAATCATTAAACCTTTGTTTTTAGGCTTATACATATACATTTTTAAGATACTTTATGTCTGTTTCTAGCTTAAGTTGGCAAAATAATGTAAATTTTTGGTGTGAGATCGTGCACATCTTGATCGCAGTGCCATTATGCATCAGGTGGCAATTAGTAGAGTTTTAGGCAAGCAATCAGTTCCCTTTATGAGCATTGCAATTATATGCCAAAAAGTGCAATCTCAAAGATATCTAATAATGCATAAAGTTTACACCTTTAATCAACCTTTTAATGAAAATATGTTCCCAAAAATTGCGCAAAACAGAATAACGCAAGAGGGCTAAAAGTACAATTTTGCGCAAATTAAGTTTGCGAATGATTGCGCACAGTGTTTTTTTTTCGCAAAAATGTAGCGCTACGAAAGCAAAAATTTTCGCTTTCTTTGGTAAAAATTGCGCAAAAGTTTTGCGAATGGAAACCTTAGACCCAACGGTTTCCCAAATATCAATAAAGTTATAACAAATAATTCACAACAATTTTAAACCAGAGGTTATTTGTTTTCAAAGAAATTGAATTTTTCTAATCACTATACCGTTGCAACCTGATAGTATAAACCTTTGATATTTCAAACTAGAATATTTGATCTGACAGAATTCAAAGTTTGAAATATCTAATGTCTATCACATCGGGATAAAGTAATACAAGGACTACAACATTAGACTTTGTGGAAAAATTCAGTACCTGTACTTGTGTTAGTTGGAAACTTAAGGTTTCTAGAGAATTGTTTATAACATAGTCTAAAAATTGACTTCAGCAAACAGGTGTAAATTTGACATTATAAATTGTCTCAATCTTAAAAACCCAATTTCCTGTTAAATGTGACAGCCCTGTAAACCGTTTTGTGCCCCCCCCCCCTCAAAAACCCCTTTTTTGAAAAAAATATTGATACCTTTTTTAACTATGTAAACAATTCGATCATATTCACACTTCCTCTTCATACTGTGGTGTTCAATGGGTAAAAAATTGAGATGGGAACGTTTTTTAAAAAATATCTATATTTTCATAGAAACAATAGATTTTGTATAATAATATGTATAAATAATAGTATAAATAATGATATCAAAGATATATTTACACTGAAGGCAGTATTGATTAAGGCTTTGTAAATGACAGGCATAGGATTAAGGCTTTTATAATGATCAAGGCCCCACCCCCTCGTACGCCCCAGAGTTTTAATACAAATTCAGGGGCGTACGAGGGGGGGCCGCGCCCCCGCCCCCCTCTACGCGTGCCCCCCCTGAGACGCTAAGGGGGGGGGGCACCCATGGGGGAGGCTCTTTTAATATTACATCTGCTTGCATTTCCCTTCCTCAGGTCAGGCACAGTGGTGTACCTAGGGGGGGGGGCAGTAGTCCTCTTTCCCAACTGGGAGTTCCAAAAATACAAAATTAAAAGGAAACTACGTTTAGAAAGTAACACCTGACAATGACAAAGACTAAGGATTTGTCTAAATTCACTGTTAAAACAAGGAGAGAAAAGTTTTAGCCTTCTAAAGAGAATACTTCATTACACAAGATGTACTGACGGAGAGCAGACTTAACGATCTTGCATTTATAGCTTTACACACTATAAGGCTGTCTGAGCTCTCTACTGAAAAAAATCATTGAAATATTTGTGGAAGCAAATCCCAGAAAATTGTAGCTTAAAAGAGTTGGTGCTGTGATTATTGATTTAGTTAGCTGTGATAGAGTTAAGTGATAAATTTATAAAGTCAAAAAGTTAGTTTTTCAAGCAAAGGAATAATTTTTAGACTCCAAGGTCAGTCACCCAAAAATGTAGTCTTTTTGGTGTATTTTTATGATGAACAAAACAAGTTCAGGTGGGACTTTTTGACCCCCCCGGGTCAAAAATAATTTAAAAAAGGTTGTAATATTTTTTCAATAAAGGGGTTTTTAAGGGGGGGCACAATGTTGCCAAGGGGGGGGGCCAAAATTTTTTTTTTGAGCGCTTACGCGCGCAACTTGTGCCCCCCCCCTAAACAAAAGCTTCGAACGCCCCTGAATCCCCTGAATACAATATAAAATAAGTTGCAGTTGTGTTTATAACATCAAAATCCCCAAAATGATAATCATTAAACTTAATACATGCTGGATAAAATTAATACCATCGCTTTCCGATATTTCACTGTCACGACTGTCACAGAGTTCTAGTAATATATATGCGGTCGGGTGCTTTTTAGTTTTAACTACTGCCGTTTGAACTATATTGAGTTTTTCAACTATTGTAGTAGTTCAAACGACCAATTATTCTATACGCGTTTGAACTATTTATTTTGCTTATTTGAACTATTGAAAACAAAAGTTCAATTGAGCCGAAAAATATATCCTAGCAAGACAATGGACATTAAATTAGCACCAAACTGACATCTTTTCAGAATGTAGTAAAGCCATTTTGCCATAAGAAAACACATCAAATTATAAAATCGTACCCACTTTTATGTCAATTAGGACGTCATTATGACCTTTTGAACTACTTTTTTCTCATTTGAACTATTTTTTGGTCATTTGAATTATTTTTATGTCCATATGTAAAATATGTTTTGATCATGTAACTATTTTGTAATGATTGTTTGACTTGTATTTTTTCATGAAATATAAATATTGAACTGCATATTTAATGTTCAACTGAGTAAATAAAGTGTTGTTTGAACTACAGGAAATGACGTCATTATCAGTAGTTAGAATGAACAATAGTTAAAACAATCAATAGTTCAAATAATCAATAGTTCAAACGGCAGTAGTTCAAATGCGTATACACCCGTAGGGACCGTAGGTCACCTACTATTTCACTAAATCATTCCAAGTCGTCTTTGTTCAGAGTACTCTATGCCACGCAACGTTATTAATAATACGGCATTTTTCTGAAACAGAAACAAAATTTATGAAACAAATTGGACGTACAAAGCGTTTACTAGGTTGAAACAAATAGAAGTGAACGTAGTTTTCAAGAGTGAATACTTTGCTGAACATATTATAAAGGTGAAAGACGAATCAACTCCTTTTTACATAGGATAAAGCTAAAAATAACACTGGCTAAGTTTATTATTCAAGTCTTTATTGGTTCTAAGAAGCGATATATGAGTTTCGCATAGAATTAATCACTTATTTACTCGTATTCAAATTACGGGTGAATAAGTATTACAAAATGAAAAATGATAAAAGAAAACAAAACAAAACCTAAAACTTGGAAACAGTTTGAAATAAAGTTTCAAAGTTCTTTTAAAACGGCAAGGACAAATCAACAAAATATAAACTTTAGGAACAAAGTCTAAACCAAAATAAAGTTTAAATAAAATGGGTGTTTCACCACTGGTTAATTAGGTCGCATGTTTAGATTCCCGTCATAAGATATAATTACTGAAGTTGGTACCCCCCTTGCTCTCCTCGCTAGCATTTTAAGTACACAATTCCTCATTTATATATACCACATCTTTTTCTAACCCGTTAAAGCAGGGTTTTATGGAGGAAATCTGGATAAACATTGTACATCTCAATACATTTTTGGTTGATGAATTATCAAAATAATAATTCCATGATACCTAATATCCTCCCTCTTTACTCTATTTGGAGATCGTCGAAATTTCAAGACTTCTGTGTATGTTTGTGTATGTTTGTGTATGTTTGTAACATCTAACCATTAGAGATAAAAAGCAAAATCTAAGAAAATCGCATTTCGGAAATAGAAGGTAGAATTATGTCCCGTAGAGTAACTGTTTCGGCGCATTAATTTGTTTTTTTAGTAGCAATGGATGATTTTTGAGATTCCACTGGCATTTTAGCTAGTTTTATGATTTATGTATGGGTATGAATAAAAACCGGGTTGAAAGCGTAATTTCAAGTGATCCTCCATGGGAAAAATGGCAATATCCGATTTACAACGGTTATAAGGACCTTTGACTGTTCTTGAGGAGAGTCGACCAAAAATCGTTTACTAGGAAATTACCAAAATCTCTAAGTGTCTATCTCTTGCATGACTAGAATTCTCTTGATAGCGAAGTTTACGCTACCGCAACAGCTTTCACTGTGATTCAGTTCCAACATTTTAAGATAAGAAAGAAGAAGAGTTTGCCCCTGTCTTTAAATAAGATTAAAGATTTTATTAATGGTCCCTTTGAACCTTTGGAAATATAAGTTATTTGAAAATATTTTCAGTTTTAGAGATATCTGCTAAAATGTCGGACGAAGAGTCACCGTCGGTTGAAGATCTGACCAAATTACGAGTTGTCGATCTAAAGAAGGTAAACATACGCTCAACATAATATAATTAAATGTGTTCTTTAATTACATATTATAATATATTCTATATTTATTTTTCCTTTGGACAATTCTAAAACTAACATTAATATTATTTTAATACTTCATTTTGTATCTTTCCCTAGTAAATTATTCAAATATAACCGTTAGTAAATAAGCTAGATGTGAATTGGAAAAATGTCTCTTTGTAATGTAGTTTTAATATCACATTTCCTATCATGGATACAACAAATATCATAATAGTAGGTATTTCGAAAATAATTGAAAAGAAATATAATTTCAGGAGTTGGGTAGATTAGGGCTAGCTCAAGGTGGAGTGAAGGCCGATCTGGTTCAGCGTATATTCCAGCATTATCAGGTTAAATCACTGATTTGTATTAAATCATTATAATCCTTGGACAAAAAAGATTCAATTAAGACCCTGTTGTAATTTGTATCCTTCAAAACTTACTCGATTGTTAAAAACTTCATACATTCAGGTCCGGCCATGTTAAAACTATCAAATGAATATCATTATCAACTAGAAAAGTTAGAATCAACGGAAACATTTATTTGGCTTAAATTAAAGTAAATTTGAGTCTTTGGAAGAGGTTTTGCACTTTTTTGTTCTGTTTTACCAAGACACGTAAAGTTTTCGCCTAAGCTCATCCCCTGATGAGATCTATTAAAAATGGTTATTTCAAGGAAAAAGTTGCTCAAACAGAGGAAACTCCAGATCAGTCTGAGGAACCTACTCCGGAACAATCCAAGGAACCATCCTTGGAACCTTCCCCGGAACAATCCAAGGAACCATCCTTGGAACCAACTAAAGAATCTACTAGAGACCCTACACCGGAACCTGCCAAAGTTCCTTCACCAGAACCAGTAAAAGAACCATCACCGGAGCCGATGCGAGACCTAACACCTGAACCAGTAAGGGAACCAATCCCGGAACCCCCTAGAGAACCAACTAAGGAACCTACTCCCGAACCTGCAAGGGAACCTACACCGGAACCAGCAAGGGAACCAACTCCGGAACCAGCAAGGGAACCAACCCCGGAACCGGTCAAGGAACCAACCCCTGAACCTGCCAAGGAACCTTCTCCCGAACCCATGGAGGAAGAAACCCCCTGTCCAAAACTGTCCCTGCAGTTTGGTCCCCCTAAAGTGCATCCTGCTGTGGTTGCACCTGCAGTGCCCGCCCCAACTAGCTCTGCCCCTGAACTACATGACGAGGAAGCTCCAAGATTTCAGCGGGAGCAGACACCAGAACCTCAGGTATAATATTCAGGGGTATAAATTTTGTGTGAAGATATCCCCCCCGCCCTCCCTCAGGGTTTTTATATTGTTAAATGGGGCAAATAAAGGATGTTAAGGGAGAATCAAATGACTTTGAGTTAAAATAAGTGTTACTAGAAGGAAAATTAATGATTTCAATAATTTAAGGGTAGCATGTGTGATTTTAAGGTTAGAATTAATATATTTTATGGGATTCGATAATAAATGATATGAAGTTATAAAAAAATTTGTTTCAAGGAGAAAATAAGTAATTTCAAGTGAAAATAAATGATTTTAGAGAAAGTAAAGGATATTAAATGAGGAAAAGAATTAATTTCAAGGGGAAAATAAATGATTTCATAAAAAACGGGTTAATCTTTGGGAATAAAGTTAATGTACATTTTGTAACCCCCCTCCCCTCCCCCAGATTTTCGAAAATTGTTTGTTAGAAATGGGGATACTTTCAGATCTTTACTTGTATAGCTCGTGTGAGTACAGATAATTATTTTACATGACAATTTGATGTAGATGCTGATCAAGATTATTTTTTTTTTATTTAGGAAGAAGAGGATAATGAGTATGGAGGTGGAAAACAAGAATACGAGGGACAAGATCAAGAATACGGCGGACAAGATCAAAATTTGGGAAAACAAACAGACGATGGCAATATGGAAAAAGACGAACAAGAAAATGGGTAAAAATGACAATGTTTCCTTTAAAAATCGTCACTGAATTAAATTTTTAAAAGTGCAATAAATAATTCACAATTGTACACTTTAAATAATAGGCGACATAAAGGACAGCTGTAAATTTGTTAAAATTGGTCACACTCATTGTACAGTAGTGGACGTATATACCAATACAATGAAGACGACTATTTTGATTTCTACCAATACAATATTCAAACAGCATGCATGATACACATGGAATCAGGAAAGGCTGTCAATTAAAAGCTTCTCTTTGTTTACTTGAAAACTTGAAAAAAGCTTGTTATGAATCGAAACAAAGAGAAAAGTCGTATTGTATTCATATTTACGCCGACCATTGTTGGAGAAACAGAAAATCTTTGTAGACTGGAATTTCCTGGTTCTAATTACTTCAAGAACTTTTTCCTTCAGTGACGATGATTCTGGTAAAGAGAATAAAAAGGGAAAAAAACAGAAGAATAAGAAGAAGAAAAAGAAGAAGAATAGACCGGAACAGTGGGCCATGGAAGCTATTTTAGCACAAAGGTAAGAAATAGGAAATAGAACGAAGCTCTTGGTTTCCGAGGCGGAATTTAAAGAATTTGAGCCGCGGTTTAAATTTAAGCCACGACACAAATATGGTTGGTTTAACTTAAATTTGTATTAAATTTTTCAAGATTTAAGCCGCCGGTCAGTTAAAACTGGTTTTTGGGGGATTTAAGACGTGGCTTAAAAATCCATTAAATTCGGACACCGGATCTTTTATTTATTTATTATTTATTTTTTGCGGATTCACTTCATACACTAACGACCAAATTATAAAGAATCTTAATTATTTTAAACGCAAATTCCAAGTTTTCGTTGCTGTTGATTTGTAAACCCTGTTTCAGCAAATAAAGATTTAACTATTTGGTATTTTTTATTCCAAAATTATTGTTAACTTGTAGAAACATTTATGATCTGGACCCGAAAACATGTTTTTTTTTTAAGCCGATCCAGGATCCGGATTAAAGAGGAATGAATCTTAAAATTAAAAAGGATTCAAATCTTAAATTAAGAAAATTTGTAATTTGAAATTTGTAGGCAAAGGATGGAAGAGGAGCGTAAGAAAACTGAAACTGAAGTAGAAGTTGAATATATTCAGGTACAACTACCNCCCCCCCCCCTACACGTTATGATGATAACACAAGATACTCTTGAGAAAGGGTTTAGCCTTGATGCTATTGCTGATAAAATCTGATAATTATAAATAAGGAAATGAGCGAGCATCAAATAGAACCGTGTGACAAAATGGCTTCCTTGTTTTATGAATCTTGCTTGCAAGAGTAACTTATTACGTTGCAATAATTAATGATTATCTGATAGATATGGCAATATTTTAATCATTTTGAGAAGAGTCTGCTTAAGCTTTAAGAAAACATGAAAGAAGTCAATTGATATGTTTCACAAATGTCCCATAACTGTCATTTTTCAAGAAAATACATACCCGTGGCTTCTACGGAATGATTGTTGTTTGTTTGTTTGGGCGGGTGTTTGTTTGTTTGTTTGTAATGATTAAGAAACAATTTTGTATAGGATGAACTGGACCTGGACCCCTCTGACCCGATGTATCGAACATTTAACAAAATATTTCAAGCTTTCAAGATTGTCGAGGATCCACTTGAGAAAATAAAGGAGAAGGAGGAGGTAAACAATCAGGGAGATTAAGTTAAGCGATTTAGCGACTCTCTAAGTTAAGCTGAAGGGACTGGAAGCGTAATTTCAAATGATCCGATGTGTCCGATTTACAATGGTACCCTTGAAACCTAATCTGATAAAAATGTTGAAGATACCGTTATTTTTCTGATTAAAAAGTGTTTATTTCATTGCTGTCCATAAACATTAAATGCGTAAGTAACTTCCGCAGAGAAACCGCAAATGAAAATAAAAGTTTTAAAGGAACAAAAACATTGATGTCTAATTTATTCTTGAGCAGACAAACCTTTCAATGGTACCTTTATAAATCAGACACTGCCATCTTTGCATGGATGGACACTTGAAATTACGCTTTCAGTCCCTTTAAAGCCCCGCTAAAAGGTAAAAAACTTCACACTTCAAATTCGGTTTCAAGTCAGAACAAGTATAAAATTTTATTTAATGTGTTTGATGATACGTTAAAAAGTTGCTTCTTTTTTACATGTCTGCAGCGTTTTCGAGTGTTTGTAATCCTCTAAAGGAACTGTAACCGTTATTTAAGTTACCTTTTATTTTAAAGAGTTGCATGCCGGATTCACAATGTTACCCGTAAATTAAAAGTATTGTTTGATCAAATATTAGACTGAGCTCCATGTTTCTAATAAGTTTGAAAATTAGTTATTTCCAACTGTGGGTATTTATACAAAATTAACTTCCTCATTTCTACTGCAGGAAAATCATTGAGAAATTATCAGAGTTGAACACATATCCACATCATTTATCAGATTACGGTTTCAAGGGTACGGTTGTGAATCGGGTATGGCACTCTCAAAAGGACAGTGGTCTTTTTTAACTGTAACTGAAACCTTTTTTCATTTAAAGTTATAATACATTTTAAATAGTTGATATTTGTAGGTAAAAAACTTCACACTTCAAATTCGGTTTCAAGTCAGAACAAGTATAAAATTTTATTTAATGTGTTTGATGATACGTTAAAAAGTTGCTTCTTTTTTACATGTCTGCAGCGTTTTCGAGTGTTTGTAATCCTCTAAAGGAACTGTAACCGTTATTTAAGTTACCTTTTATTTTAAAGAGTTGCATGCCGGATTTTATTTAATGTGTTTGATGATACGTTAAAAAGTTGCTTCTTTTTTACATGTCTGCAGCGTTTTCGAGTGTTTGTAATCCTCTAAAGGAACTGTAACCGTTATTTAAGTTACCTTTTATTTTAAAGAGTTGCATGCCGGATTTACCCGTAAATTAAAAGTATTGTTTGATCAAATATTAGACTGAGCTCCATGTTTCTAATAAGTTTGAAAATTAGTTATTTCCAACTGTGGGTATTTATACAAAATTAACTTCCTCATTTCTACTGCAGGAAAATCATTGAGAAATTATCAGAGTTGAACACATATCCACATCATTTATCAGATTACGGTTTCAAGGGTACGGTTGTGAATCGGGTATGGCACTCTCAAAAGGACAGTGGTCTTTTTTAACTGTAACTGAAACCTTTTTTCATTTAAAGTTATAATACATTTTAAATAGTTGATATTTGTAGGAAGAGCGGAAGCATGCGGAGGAGTACAAGAAGGTTCCCAAGATGCTGGAGGAGGATGATATGTTGGAGGAGGAGGAGAAGGACGGAGAGGATAAAGTCAGCAAAAGAAAACTTAAAAAACTCTCAAGGTTTGTTTTTCATCCCAAAAAATCGATGAATAAAAGGTTACGTCAAGTCAAAATAAACACACAAAGAAGTCAATTAAATAACCTTAGTCAAAAATGTACTCTGAAAGTTTTTTTTGGTTCATTTGTTGAATAGAAGTGCGTTATATGCACAGCTAAGATTGATACTGAACTGGTGCTCGAGATCTCTCAAATTTTTTCCATCTATCTATCTAGATTAAGTGTAGCTGAACTGAAGCAGCTAGTATCCCGACCTGATGTTGTTGAGATGCATGATGTAACTGCCCGGGATCCTCGTCTTCTTGTCCATCTCAAATCCACCAGGAATATATTTATTTACAAAATAGCGAGAAAATTTCCTTTAATGAGCAAAAAAATCTACTTCAGATTTCAACACCTTTTAACATTTATCAACTCTTACAATATCACAGGAAACAAAATTTACTAAAAGTTGGATCAAATCATTTCATCCACGTGCTAATCGATTTTGTGTCATTTTTCTATTTGGCACTCATTTCCTCTTTGTTAAGAATCAATCCCGAGCCCGATTTACAACAGTACCCTTAAAGGCTTTTTCTGATCAAGTATGAATTAGATATCCATGTTTTTATTTATTTAAGATTTCTGGCTGATATTAAACAATGAAGATATCTACAGAAAGAAACTATTGTCGAGTCAGAAAAACGAAGTTATCTCTCACATTTCTGATCATTTTAAGGTTTTACGGATACTGGTGTAAATTTCATATATTTATTCAACCACAAAGCATGAAATATTACAAATAAGCAATCACAATTTACTATGCAGTTTGGACCCGCCTAACCAGGGTTGGTTGTTTTGATTGTTTGGCCCGAAGTTAATTAACGATACTGAATATAATTGGTTACACATATCAAGATATGTTTTTGGATAGGTAAGGAGTTGATTGGAAGGAAGGAGATTGTCAGGTGATCTGTGACAGGGTGAGATCAGAGGGATTTTTTTGTAGAGATAAATTAAAATACAGGGTGTTAATAGCTACAGAAACAGAAATAAGCTAATAAAGTTTCAGTTATTTTAGTTTTTTTATATAAAATTTATTCACACGATATACAGCTAGGTTTTTCGCATTTAAACCTCTCATAATTCTCAAGATAAATATTGATTACTCTTTTTTAAAATATTTTTGCAGATTTAGTTTCATTAATGTCAATTTCAATTTCATTCCACAATTTAGGAAACATTGCGGACGGAAAGCGTTCTAAATTTTTGTTCAAAAATATTGTCATATTTGCATGGACGGTCACTTGAAATTAATTACACTGTCCCTTAAAGATAAATCACAGGATGATTCAAAATATTTGTTTATTTTCAAACTTAAAGAAAATGTATAAATAAATATGTTTTTTCTCTCAGGAACACTGTTCCAGTTCCGAGGCATTGGTGTTTCAAGAGAAAATATTTGCAGGTTTGTATTTGGTTGAAATAAACTCTATTAGGGGGGGGGGGGTACCATAGTAATGCTCTTGTTCTAAAGAGTGGTGGGAGGGGGGGGGGGATAATTTGACAATTGCACAATTTACATTAGAATATAAAATTTGACACAATCTAATTTTTTTGATGGAATCAAGTTATATTTCCAAAATAATTTTTTTTATGGGAACTTCTTTTCTTTCGGAGGGAGGAAGGACGTGCCTGTTGAACTTTTTTAGTTTATTTTAATTTTTTTGATAATGTTAAACACAACCCTTGTATTCACACGGTCAAGTACAATATTCTAAATTCTGTGTGTTGTTTAGGGTAAGAGAGGTATTGAGAAACCTCCCTTCGATCTGCCAGACTTCATCAAGAAAACTGGAATTATGGAGATGCGGGAAGCACTCCAGGAGAAAGAAGACGCCAAGGAACAAAAATATTCTGGAAAATTCAAGAAAAATAAAATTTAAGATTTTAATTTTATTTTTTAATCACATGGAATTTTTTTCAGCAACTGATTTGTAAAGGTTGATAAAAATTGCAAATTAAAAATCAAACAATTTTGCAAAGTTGGACTTTTGAATAGCCAGTGGTGAGTGTTTTTTTTTTAATAACTTAGACAGTCTCTAAAAATTATAAAGCTAAAATTTTAAAAATGTCTTGATGAAAATTATTTCTAGGGTCGACTACGAAAGTAGGTTTTCTATGAATTGTAATTGCAGTCAGTCTTTTTTCCCCCGCTGTCATTTAAAACTGTTGTTTCTAGTTTCGGGGAATGAATAACTACGATGGAAACTAAGAATATGAATGTTGGGAGCAGGGGATGAAGTCTAAACAGAGGGAGAAGGTCCGACCTAAGCTGGGGAAGATTGATATCGATTATCAGAAGCTTCACGACGCTTTCTTCAAGTGGCAGACTAAGCCAAGGATGACAATGCACGGAGATCTGTACTACGAGGGGAAAGAGTTTGAAATCAGGTAAAATCCGCCAAAAAACGAATTTTTGCAAAATTTCCAACACTTGTCGGGGCTAGAAGTTTTAGAGAAATGACAGTTTCTATTTAACTTAAAACACGTTGTGCTACCCTTTTTTCCTTTTTAGTACCTTTTTTAGCACTTTATTTACCTTTCTCACAGAAATGTATTTTTCAATTCAGTGATAACAATTTTTATCCATAGTTATAACCAGACAGAAAATAACCTTTTCGGGCCCCGGGGCACAAACAAACCTATTAGTTCATGTTAGGATTTAAATTGTATGGTTGCACAGCTGAAAGTTAGTTGCAAATGGTTAATTAATTCAAATTAAATTAGATTAAAAGAGAAGAAACCTGGTGATTTGACGGATGATCTGAGGACAGCTCTTGGAATGCCTGTTGGTCCTAATGCACACAAGGTACCCACTACCCACTGTCAAGCCCCCCCCCTCTCCCGTCCCCCAAAACTTATTGAAAAAAATGTAAATTTTAGGGGGGGGGAGGTGGCGGGGAGGGTGTTTCTGCGCAAAGCCCAATTAAAAAGTTTTTTTAAGGTAATTTGAGAAAATGTATGATTTTTTGGGAACTGAAATAATATGTGGGTAAAAGGTTTACAGGGGTAAAAAACTGGCCATTTGGTGATAATTAGTGCATGATAATTGGTCTATTTTTTTAAATGATGTAATCCAAAGATACTCTTGAGCCAAGCTCTAAAAAGGGCCTGGCCTTGATGCTACTGCTGATAAGATCTGAATAAATGTAATTTAACAAAATTTGTTTTAATAAAAAATTGACATATTTTGTTAATTTTTTTAAATCCAGGTTCCAGCTCCGTGGTTGATTGCAATGCAGAGATATGGACCTCCTCCCTCCTACCCTAACCTCAAGATTGCGGGACTAAACGCTCCAATCCCAGACGGGTGCTCCTTTGGATATCATGCAGGTTTGTCTCATACCCGTCTTAACGGGGTTGTAATCGTAATTTCTAATTTTTAAGTCACATACAAAAACAAAAAATCAACCATCTTGAACATCTGAACATGCTAGTGGTACTGACAGGACGGATAGGAAGGGCTTATGGCAGACCGTCATAGGCTTGACTCTCACCCCTGGATTTACACTCAGCTTTGAACTTAGGTGGAAGGAAGCTCAAGTCTGAAATCTTTTAATCTGAAATTATTAAGTTTCTAATGTTGCAGGATGACCAATCTAAACTGCAGACAATTATTTGGTTTACTTAGTTTCTAATGTTGCAGGGTGACCAATCTAATCTGAAGACAGTTATTTGGTTTACTTAGTTTCTAATGTTGCAGGGTGACCAATCTAAACTGCAGAAAATGGTTCAGATGAGCTGGACCTTTGTGAATGATTCTTTATGCACAACGCTATGCTTACAGGTTTGCAATTTTGGACTCAATAGAGCACCTCTCTGACAACAAAGGATAGTTTTTAACAAAAATTATCAAGATTGAACAATGTCCAAATATGATTTTTTTTTCTTCAAAATTTCATTTAATGAGACTGTTAATTGTAATTTTAAGTGACCCTCCTCTATTCAAATATGGCAATGCCCTTTTCACAACGGTAGCCTTGAAACTTTTTTCTAATTAATAATGTAGAAGATATCGTCGTTTTTCTAGCTTCAAAAGTAATACATTTTTATTTTTCCTTTATTTTTTCCTTTTGGAGAAATGCGCAAGTCGATTTTGTTGAGAACCCACAATTGAAAACTATAGGTCTTCATAATTAAGAAAGTTTGTTTGTCACATCTTACTAAAACTTGATCTGGCAAAGCTTTTAAAGGGAGTGAGCGGCTATGTAAGGCAGTTGAACTGAGTATGCAGTGTTGTGGAAAACTTCTTTCGGATTCATTTGAGACATATTAAACTTTTTAAAGATAGTAGATGAGGCCGGTAAACCTCTGTATGGAGATGTGTTCGGTACCAGTGATAGTAGAAACTTTCCGACAACACCTGCAGAGGATGTAAGCTGATGGATGGATTGATTATTGGTGAATTTATGGATGGATTGATGAATTGAAAGATTGATGGACTTTTTATTGATAGATTGATAGATTGATGTGATGGATTGATTTATTGATAAATTGATAGATCGTTGGATTAATGGATTGAAGGATTAATTGATTAATGGATTGACGGATGGATGGATTTATTTATTGATGGATGCATTGAGTTTTGGATGTATGGATAAATGGATACATGGATTGAAGCATAGATGGATTGATGGACTGATGTATTATTTGATTTATAGATTGATTTATTGATGGATTGATAGATTGATGGATTGATGAATTGATGGATTGATGGATTGAAGGATTAATTGATTGATAGATTGACGGATGGATGGATTTATTTATTGATGGATGCATAGATTTTTGGATTGATAGATTGATAAGCATTGAAGGATTGATAAGCATTGAAGGATTGAAGCATTAAAGGATTGATGAATTGGTTTATCTGATCTCCACCCTACGTTATGCATAAAAAAATAGATTTTTTGATTGATTGTTTTTGGATTTGAATGATTGGTTGCTTTAGCTTTGATTGATTGTTTTTAATTAATTAAATAATTGCTTAGATTGATCAGACCTTGTGGGGTGAAATGGAAAGTGAGAGTGAGGAGGAGAGTGACAGTGATGAGGAGGATGAGGAGGAAGAGGAGGAGGGAGTAGATTCAGGACTCCAGACTCCAGTAGTTGAACCTGGTCTTGCTACTCCTAGTGGAACTACCAGTGTTGGAGGTAAAAGATTTTTCAATTTCTTAATGATAATAACTAGTTAAAGTGCCCGGCGTTGCCCGTAGAATTAAAAAAACAAAAATTTTGAAAAAAAATCAATTTGAAGAAAAAGATTTAGAATTGGTTTAGCCTAAATTTCGCTCAGGGTACCCAGGGGTTCCCTAACTAGATTTCAGCCACTTCGGTCCAGCCGATTGGCCAGCTTTAGCTGACATATAAATATATATATATATATATATATATGAGCGAAGAGCTTTATTATATTTATAACCAGAGCTAAGGGCACATTCTATATTGAGGATAAGGATTCGGATACTTTCCGTGCTTTTTTATTTTGATTTGGGTCCTGATTCAGCTCATTCATAACTTTTATCAATATCTTTAAATGTTTTGCTATGTTTTTAGTCAAAACGTTTTTGTCCAATGTCAGATTGAATGCACTAATAATATTGATATAAGCCACCATTTTGTTTCTTTATGTTGTTTTAATCCTAACACTTGTTTCATTTTTTACCTTTCACATAAGTTTTTTTATAACTTTGTATGACTGAAGATTAAAACTTATATAAGATGATTTTAATATTTGAGGTGCTGGTCTGGAAACACCGGATATGATTGAGTTGAGAAAACGGCGGATTGAGGCGGATATGGAAGGCGGAGATACGCCTAGTCTACCCTACACCATTATACCTGAGAGGAAGAACGAACGAATTGGTAAATACGTTAAATACAAAGCAAGGAGTATATTTTTTAAATGTTTTTTCAACCTTGATTGTTTGTTATCCTTGGCCAATTAATAAAGCCTTGAAAAAGTTCATAGAAAAATTATTTTCGAAAGGAAGGGGGGGGGGGGGGGGTCTGGAAGTGTTATTTGAAAGAAAATATACACCCTTGTACAAAGCCATGGGTAAATGATTTCAGGAGAAATATGGAAATTTGGATTTTACAGGAAACGTTTCCCCACTTTACTAAAAAATATTATTTTTCTTTTATGATTCTTTGTTTTCGCCTATTTCGCGTAAAACCCCAAACAATCATAATAAAGGGGTGAAAAATGATTTTTAAGAAGGCAAATTGGAAAATTCTCATTTTGGAGAAAAAATAAGTTTTAAGAAGTGTGTGGAGGGGGGGGGGGGTTAAATTTCATGGGAAAAATCATTTTTATCAAGGGGGAGGAATTCTCATTTTGGCAAAGAAAGTTGTTAAGATATTTAAAACTTGGTAAACTATCCCTTTATTCTCTCTATTCCAGGTGCAAGTATGATGGGCAGCACCCACACCTACGAGATCGGTAAGGGCCGAGCCCCCGTCAAGGGTAAAGAGGCTGCTGTAGAGATGGCCTTGAACCCGGAGGATCTTGATCTAATGGACAGTGAAACTATGGCGCTCAAGGCAGAGGCTGCTCTCAGGTATTTAAGGATTAAAAATTTTAAATTAAATCTGCAGAAATCCCCCCCTTCCTCCCCTTCCCCTTCTATGTTCAAGCAATAGTCTTGAGGATTTGAAAATAGTATGCCTTAACCCCTGAAGTCAATTTGGCAAGGGAAGACTGTGTGGATCCGGATTTTGATGCGGATCCGGATCCTGGATCAGCACTTAAAAAAATGGATCCGGATCCAGGTCATTTCTTTATTTTTTGTCTTATTTTCTTCGTTTATTTTTTTTCTAAAACTTGATGAACCATTTGGAAATCAGGAAACTTTTATAATTTCTCTTTCTTCAATAGTACAAATGTAGGTGTAGGTAGAGCGTAAAAAAGTTTTTTTATTATTGCAGTTTTTGGTTGATATTCTGCCCCAGGATACGTGGATTCGCATGTTTTTACGGATCCGGATCCGGTTACGGGAAGCCAAAATCTTGCGGATTCAACGGATCTGGATCCTAAGCACTGAAGTTGACATTTGTAATTATTATCTATTTATCGTTGCAACCTGGTCGCTGAATCACCGATTCAAATTTTTTCTCAATCTTTAACAATTTGAACCGGTGTTGCAACGATAAATAGATTCATTAAATTAATGTCTCAGACCTTTCATTTTTCAATTAAAGATTTAAGACACTACCAGGGTTTACTTTAAGAAATAAGGAAATAAATAATTCAAGTGTGGGACGAGTAAAATAGTTCTTTATCTTAGAACAACTTGTAATTTGAACCATTTTACAGGGAGCAGCAGGCTAGTTTGGCCAAGGAGGACTTGTCAGACATGGTAGCCGAGCACGCAGCGAAGCAGAAGAACAAGAGGAAGAGACAGGAGACGAGAGAAGACAAGGATAAGGCCAAGAAGTACAAGGAGTTCAAGTTTTAGTCGTGTCAATACAAAATCAAGAACTTGCGGATTTTTTGTTAATTTGATTTTGAGATTTTGTTCTAAATGTTATTACGCATTTCTCCCTCTCTCACACCTCACTGTTATATTGAATTAACCATTTCAGAATATTAGACTAATAAACAATGCCGGTCTGGTATTATGATAAAAAGGTATTTAGAACTTTTAAATAGTTTTTAAATATAAAATTTTTATGAAAATTAAGTTTCAAAATTTAAGACAGATCTTTTTCATTTTATGTCTTTACTTTAAAGATAAATTTCAACATGTTAAAATTTTCACGAGTTTTTATTAATTTTTCATTTTATTTTAACAGCAGGAGTTGAAGAATTCTCCTTCTACACTATCTGGTCTCTCATATGAGGATGAAACTAGATATAGAAGAGAAGGAGCTAGGTATTGACATCCCCCCCCCCAAAAAAAAATATAGAGGAGGAAAATGGGGGGGGGGGGGTCTAATTGGTTTAAACTGGACCAATTTTTTTATTTGGGATTAAATTCCAAGAGAAAAAATGTTGAATTTTTTTCCCCAGAAACAATTTATCCTTTCAAATCTGGGATTGTCTTTCGTATTTTTAATTATGCAAGTTCAACACGATTTCAAAGTTTTGGCCTTTTAAAATAAACACTGCTTTTTAGAAAATGTTTTTAAAAATCGCCAGATTTGAGAAAATCTGTTTTCCCGTTATATTTTATTAAAACTAGTTAAAAGAAAAGTCAAAGAATTTTCCACTTTTCTTGGCATCAAATAGTGTTCCCTTGACGTGACGTGACGTGACGTGACGTGACGTGACGTGACGTGACGTGACGTGACGTGACGTGACGTGACGTGACGTGACGTGACGTGACGTGACGTGACGTGACGTGACGTGACGTGACCACGTCACGTGACTATTGTAAAACTTTTTCTTTTTGTTTAGATTTATTCAAGAGCTGGGTAAAGCGTTAGGATTACGGCATGACACTATGGCGACAGCTGCAGTTTACTTTCACAGGAATATTCCGCATTTATAATATACATGTTACAGATTATATTAACGTTGAAAGCATATGACTTAATTAATGACATATTCAAGGGAAACAGATCATATTGACGGAAGTTTTTTCCTCCCTCGCTAAAATTTTCCCCCTGTCCATGAAATTTTTATAGGATTTCTGGGCAATTTTATATCATAACCCTGGAACAGCCGGGGGCGGGAGAGGGGAAATGGGATGTATTTCTTCCCCCCCCCCACTGCCCGCCCTGAAAGGGACAGTAAAGGAAAAATGAAAGGGGGTATAGGCTGAAAGCTAATCACTTTAGCTCTCGATCGTGACCCATGAAAGTTTTATCTGATGTTCCTATCTCGAGAAATTGATTTACAACTGTGTCAAATTTATACGAAAATTAATATATATACAATTTTGTATAAAAGTAGTGGGTTTAAATAGATCAAATTCAGCCAATAAGCAACCAATCTGAAAACGTTAATATCCCCGAGAAAGCTAATTATTACTTAGGTTTACTCCAATTCTAATTTTATATTTGTGATTTCTATTTTTAATAGATTTAATTCATAATATTATTTACACGTCCGAATTGCTTGACCAGAAAATCCACCAATGACAGTGCAGTAAAGTTGTCACGTGATACAGGCAGAGACACGTGATCAGTATACTGCTCTGCCATTGGTGATAGTTCTGGTCACGTGATTTAAGTTTAAGATTTTCTAAATTTTACATATATGAACTTTCGTATGATTTTAACACAGTTTTATATCAATTTCTCGAGATAGTAACATCAGATAAAACTTTCATGGGTCGCGATCAAGAGCTAAAGTGATTAGCTTTCAGCCTATACCCCCTTTCATTTTTCCTTTACTGTCCCTTTAAGCTTCACTGTTAAGCACTAGAAACCCCTTCAATCAGATCTTACAGACATCACATGATGGTTGATCTTTTATTTATTTATTTATTTATTTAAGCAATTACAAATTTTAAAATATGATAATGTGATCTTTTTTGTTTGAAAGAGGGTATCATATCTGCATTATTTGTTCCGTTTTAGCATTAGCATTTGTTACTTTGTTATCGTCTATGCACCTTTCCCGTAGTGCTCAGGACCCATTCAGAAAGCTGTGAACTTTTGTCATGGATACTCATAATCTCTATCGTTGGATCTCGATATATCCTCTGTGGGCAATTTGAGGATGAATGCTTAGCCACTTCATTCAGTTATCGCCCACCCCCCTTAATAAAAGCGAGCCCTTCCATTTTTTTTTCTTCAGTTGATTCAATATTGATTCTATTTTATGCGGAATTTTACACCAGGTTTTACATGTTTCACTCTTTCATCGAGTTTCCAAGATATGTAAGTATATTTATATTTTTCAATGAGAAAAAGAATTATTAAGGGAGAATAATAAAGATTTTATTAAAACAATGACATTTAGGTTAGATGGGTGTACAAATGATTGATTGATTGGTTGTACGATCTATTGGTTGAAAGTACGACTAATCGATTGATTTATTGATTGATTGATTAATTGGTTGGTTTTTGTTTGATTGATTGATTTATTCTTTCTTTGGATTGATGGACGATTGGATCGACTCATTAATTGATTGATTGATAAGCAGATTCATTCTTGCTTTCATTTATTAATTCGTTGGTTGTACGATTGATGGTTGGATTGATTTTTTGACCGAATAGTTCATTGAAAAACTAGATTGATTGGTTGGTTGGTTGGTTGGTTGATTGATTGATTGATTGATTGATTGATTGATTGATTGATTGATTGTAGGTGACAGCTACCTGTGCCCTGTTCCTGGCCGGAAAGGCTGAGGAAACACCGAAGAAAGGTCGAGATATTATAAAAACTGTGAAGGAACTTCTGAACCCTAATCAATTCAGCACTTTCGGACAGGTAGGGGGCTCTAAACTCATTTTGATGAAACAATAAAAATGAAAAATAAAATGAAATTGCCATTGATAAAATATGTAAACACATTTTTAGAAATTAAGATGCTTGATTCCTTTAATAAAAATAACGAATCAATTCTATTTTAATATCATTTCTATTTCACTATTATGAAGAATATTTTTTCACAGCCTACCTACATATACTACTGCGCTCTCAGCTCAAATACCGGCTCTCCTTTAGGTCACTCCCTTTTAAGTGTATAGTTGTGATCTTTATAACAAGAGTAATAATTTCGAATTCAAAAATCTATTTCGCGAAGAAACCTAGAAGACTTTAACCATTAAAAATTTTAAAGAAAAAGATCGGCTGAAAACACAAAAAAATGATTTTATTTTACTTTATTTGTAAATGGTTAATGGATTATCTTAAAACATCGTTAACAATCTTCTTAATTTTCATGTATTTTAGGATCCAAGGGAGGAAGTGATGACATTAGAACGGGTTCTTTTACAAACAATTAAATTTGATCTCCAGGTTCGTTTTCCACTGATTCATTAATTTATTTTATAAGTTAAGTTATTTCAGAACACTCGGTTTGATTTTTTTTAAATATTCCATTGATTTTGATTAAACGATATTTTGTGCTTGATTTAACAAAATTTGAAAATATTTTAATAATTAAATGTGACAAAAATTTGATAAATATATATTTTAGGTGGATCATCCTTACCCCTCAATACTTAAATATGCAAAGTGCTTAAAGGTAAAATTTTTCTTTGAACAAATTTTTACACTTTTAACGACATGCTTTGCAATGATTGTTCTAGGGAGACCAAACTTAACTGCAGAAATGATTTGGTTTACATAGTTTCTAATGTTGCTACTTGCAGGGTGACTACTGACACCCATCTAAACTGAAGACAATAATTTTTCTTATTAAGTTTCTAATGCCGCAGGGTGACCAATCAAAGCTACAAGAAAGTTATTTTGGTTTACTTAGTTTCTAATGTTGCAGGGTGACCAATCTAATCTGAAGCCAATTATTTGGTTTACTTAGTTTCTTATGTTCCAGGGTGACCAAGCTAATCTGAAGACAATTATTTGGTTTACTTAGTTTCTAATGTTGCAGGGTGACCAATCTAATCTGAAGACAATTATTTGGTTTACTTAGTTTCTAATGTTGCAGGGTGACCAATCTAATCTGAAGCCAATTATTTGGTTTACTTAGTTTCTAATGTTGCAGGATGACCAATCTAAACTGCAGACAATTATTTGGTTTACTTAGTTTCTAATGTTGCAGGGTGACCAATCTAATCTGAAGACAGTTATTTGGTTTACTTAGTTTCTAATGTTGCAGGGTGACCAATCTAAACTGCAGAAAATGGTTCAGATGAGCTGGACCTTTGTGAATGATTCTTTATGCACAACGCTATGCTTACAGGTTTGCAATTTTGGACTCAATAGAGCACCTCTCTGACAACAAAGGATAGTTTTTAACAAAAATTATCAAGATTGAACAATGTCCAAATATGATTTTTTTTTCTTCAAAATTTCATTTAATGAGACTGTTAATTGTAATTTTAAGTGACCCTCCTCTATTCAAATATGGCAATGCCCTTTTCACAACGGTAGCCTTGAAACTTTTTTCTAATTAATAATGTAGAAGATATCGTCGTTTTTCTAGCTTCAAAAGTAATACATTTTTATTTTTCCTTTATTTTTTCCTTTTGGAGAAATGCGCAAGTCGATTTTGTTGAGAACCCACAATTGAAAACTATAGGTCTTCATAATTAAGAAAGTTTGTTTGTCACATCTTACTAAAACTTGATCTGGCAAAGCTTTTAAAGGGAGTGAGCGGCTATGTAAGGCAGTTGAACTGAGTATGCAGTGTTGTGGAAAACTTCTTTCGGATTCATTTGAGACATATTAAACTTTCAATGGTACTGTTATGAATCGGGCATTGCAATCTTTGCATTGGAGGTTGGAGGGTTACTTGAAAATATGCTTACTGTCTCTTTAAGCAAATATTTTGTTTCTCTAGTGGGAACCAGAGGTTATAGCAATAGCACTGATGTACCTGGCAGCTAAACTCAGCAAATTTGAGGTTAGAGACTGGAACTCAAGGACATCAGATCATAGGTAACATTTCAACATTTTAAAGGGAGTGTTTACCATATTTGGAAAGAGGGTTTGTAGCGCTTAAATTGATCTTTTATTCTTATTAGGGTCCAAAGTTCCAAACCCAAAATCAGACATTTTTTTCGCTTTTCATTAAAGGAGAGGGGGGTGGGGGAGTCTAGTGCAGATTTATTGAAATTTTGCAAAAGCTGGTAAATTGGGAACCGAGTGGACTTTACTAATGTCGATTGATTATTATGAGTTTAAGTTACTGGAAAGAGTAAATGACATCAGCTCATTACATTTATTGATATCAGTAAACCTATAAATAAGTTTAATTTATCTTATTGTTATCTTGGAAAGATTACATTTGTTAACTGAGCTGAAAACTTTAGAATGGTGGCTATCGAGATCAATGCTAGATCCTCTCTTATTTATTCTATCTTAAGATTAATTTAATCTTTAGATTAATTTCTAGAGATTATGAGATGCGCTCTTAAACTTTTGAAAAACTGGTAACTTTTGAAAAACCGGTTTTTGGTTTTTCCGCAATTGTGGTGCTATATCATTTAACTTATGATCGATTGAACGAACGTAAGCTTACGATTAATGTTTATTAAGACTAACGTTCAAAAGTCCTCAAATTAAAGTTGTTGTATCTAGGTACTGGTGGGATCAATACGTCAAGGATGTGAGTCAAGATATTCTAGAGGACATCTGCCATCAGGTAACAAACCATCCTTTCTATCAACCTTTCTTTACCCCACCCCTCAAAACACATTCATTTCCTATTCCTTTCCATCAACCTTTCTTTACCCCACCCCTCAATACACATTTATTTCCTATTCCTTTCCATCATCCTTTCTTTACCCCACCCCTCAATGCACATTCATTTCCTATTCCTTTCCATCAACCTTTCTTTAACCCACCCCTCAATACACATTCATTTCCTATTCCTTTCCATCAATCTTACTTTACCCCACCCCTCAATACACATTCATTTCTTACTCCTTTCCATCAACCTTTTTTAACCTACCCCTCAATACACATTCATTTCCTATTCCTTTCCATCAATCTTACTTTACCCCACCCCTCAATAGACATTCATTTCTTATTCCTTTCCATCAACCTTTCTTTACCCCACCCCTCAATACATCTTCCTTTCTTATTCCTTTCCATCTACCTTTCTTTACCCCACCCCTCAACACATCTTCCTTTCTTACTCCTTTCCATCAACCTTTCTTTATCCCACCCCTCAATACACATTCATTTCCTATTCCTTTCCATCAATCTTACTTTACCCCACCCCTCAATACATCTTCCTTTCTTATTCCTTTCCATCAACCTTTCTTTACCCCACCCCTCAAGACATCTTCCTTTCTTATTCCTTTCCATCAATCTTACTTTACCCTACCCCACAAGACATCTTCCTTTCCTAATCCTTTCCTGTGTCCATCAATCTCACTTTACCCCACACTTCTACCTACCTTATTTATCTATCCCCTTCCCTCCTTTTTACCAATCTTCCCTCCTTTCTACCAACCAACCCACCCTTCCGTATGCCTTTCTCTCATACTCCCTTCACTGCTTGAACCCTTTCTCCGGCCTGTTTTTTACCCCATCCCTCCTCCATACACTGGACATTTTCCTTTCATATCCCATTCCTTTCCTATCCCTCCTCTCCACCAACCTTTCTCAACCTTTCCACCTAACCTTTCTGACCACTCATTTTCCTGACAAATTGTACTGCTTGCCAGTTTCCCCATTTCGTTTTCTTTTCTCAAAGTATCCCGACAAATCTTTTTTCTGTTTTACCTTTTTTCCACATTTAATTGAAACTTGATGATTCGCTAGTTTTACAATTCTAGGTGCTAGATCTGTATTCCACACCTGCCACATGTGCTCGTGATGCTCCGCCTTCTCCGCCCCCTGGAACAAGAGTATACCAACCTCCACCTCAACCCCGCCCATCCACACGCTCCACACCTGCCGTGGCCAGTCCGGCTCTACCAGTTAAACCCCCGCAACCCAAACCCAACCCACCCAGTGGTCTCCCACCATCCGCCGCACCGCCCGCAGTTCCGCCACAGTTCCAGTTAACTGCCTCACAAATTGCCGGATACCAGTCGTTTTATCAGCAATCCGGTGGATTTGCAATGCAGGGACAATCCTATGCATCTGTTGCTGCTGCATCTTATACTGCCCCACCTCCAACTTCTTATCCTCCGCCTGCAGCTGGTCCGCCTCCAAGTCGTCCGCCAGCTAACGGTCCTCCTCCTGAATACAGAAACAATCATCCTCCATCACGTTTACCTCCGGACACTCGCGGCCCTCCGCCGGACAATCGAGCACCTCCGCTAATAGATGCCAGGGGTCCGCCGCCACTGGACCGAGGATACCATTCAGAAGCAAGGGTTCCGCCACATGATATCCGTGGTCCGCCTCCAGATCTAAGAGGCCCTCCGCCTGAGTTCCGTGGCGGGAAACCAGAGCCCAGGGGTGCTCAAAACGACTTCCGTAATCATGGGAGTCGGGACCCCGGGCTCAGGGGCGGGCCAACTACTCCTATGGGAGACAAATTCTTTAGAAACTCAGGAACACCAGTTAGAGACAATATGCCCAGACCCCCCTTGGGTATGACCCCCTCTCCCCGACTCCCACATATGTCCTCTAATCCCTTGGGAGGCGCCCCTCCTCGAGGCCCTCCAGGTCACATTCCTTTCAGAGGTCGGGGTGGACCTCCTCCTAGCCGCCCGTCTCCCTACTCCCGGCCCCCTCGGCCCGGGGGCCAGTGGTCTAGATGATGATTGAATATTAACAGTTTTCTTTACACATAAATCATTTCAATCCTCTTCCCAGATTTGTTAAATCCTGTTTTAACACAGAAAACATAGTTTTGAATACTTTTATATTTTTAGCTCTTCATTTTCTTTTGATGTTGTTCACATTGTTCAATATCCTTGTTTATTTTACTCCTAATTGTTTAATCTTTCATAAAATGACAAATAAGAAAAAAATAACTAACTGGAGAAAAGCGCTGATTATTTGGCGTGATACGAAACAGTGTTTTTGTTGCAGAAAAAATGTTTCGGCTGCCGGCCGTCTCGTCCCTTGTGTCCTCCTCGTCTAATCGGCTGGCCGTTACAACAATTCGTCAACTCTCGGTTTCCAGTCCACATTCGACGAAAAATATTAAAAATTTCAATATCTGGAATAAAAGGAACATTTTTCAAAATCTAACCTAATACTAAATGAGAATGAAAAGTCTACAGTAGTTATTTTTGTCAGGAAATTTGAATTTTCAACAAAAATTTGATTTTTTTTCTTTGAAAGAAATATTGTTCAGAGGATCGAGAGAGTTTAAAAAAGCTCAGTTTAGAATAGGAAACCCTACATATGATGTTCCCATTCATAGGGTAAATATTTATGATATTTTTTCACCAAATAAAAGAAATACATTACCAAAAGTATGAAATATTTTACTTTTCAACTCTTGTTTAAATCTATCTCACTTTTATTAAGTTTCATTTCGAAATATACAGTTGCGTTTGCAACATCAAAATCGATAATCAAAAACTAAAAATAAGCACATGCTGTGTTTTAATTTTGTTATTTTAAAATGCGCCTCGAACCCTTGAATATGAATGCTTTCCAAATGTCTTTGTTTTTAAATTTGAATATTGTTTAGATGGTCAAAATTCTAAATTTCTTCTCAATTGTATTATAATGCAAGAATCTGAACAGCTTTATCAATATTGTGCTTCACAGTTTCATACTTTGTTTGGTTGTTAAATAAGAATAAAATCTAAAATGTAAAAAACGTTCAAGCGCGACAAAAAGGCATGTACGCTGTTTTATTTAAAAAATATAAAAAAAGGAATTTAGAAGTAAAAATTTTTTCATCACTTTTTAGAACCTTACAATTGATTTTTGTATAATTATATTTTCATATTATTATTTTTTTAGTATGGCGCACGTCCAACCGGTATTGATCACTTCTCAGGCGGTGAAACGGTAAGCAGGGTTAGACTTCCGCCCCCCCCCTCTCCAGAAACGGAGGGTTTATCTTTTTTTTTTGGGGGGGGGGAAGGAGAATTAAGGCAAGCAAAGCTAGTTTGATGTTACTATCGGTTTGATCATTTTCTTTACAGCCATTTTCTTTATCTTTGCAACCTCCTTATTTTTAAAAATTAGATTATTTGATGTTGGTAGAAACTATTAATTTGTAATATCAAAGCTATACGACATCAGGTTAATTTTTTCCCGCCATGATTTTAATGCTGTTAGTGATGTCGATGTTGATTCTTGATTGTTGATTTTGATGTTGTTTATTTTTAATGGCGATCTTGATGTTATGTTGATTTTGACGTGAATTCTGATCATCATCTTAACGCGCGTTGTGCTTGCAGGTTCCAGAGATGATTCCTGAATTAATAGTTCCTGATTTAGAAGATTGTAAACTTAAACCCTACGTATCCTACGCTACTAAGGAAATTCTCCAGAAAATCAAATCCTTAAAACAAGTGAAAATTAAAGTTAAAAAAATTAAATTGCAGAATGAAGAAGCTCTTAAGTGATCCTTAAAAGGGCCCACTATGAACGGAATGTCCGATTTATAACAGTACCCTTTTAACTTTTTACTGATATCGAGGACAGAGAACTCAGTGTATATATCTCTTAAATGTTTAAAAGCCATTAAATTGGAATGTATGCTAGCGTACTTTGTGAACTCAACGCGGATGACGTCAAATTTATGCCGAAAATCTAGATTATTGTATGTCCATTTTCCAATGCGGTTTTCAAAAATTTGAAAGTGAAGCTTTATACTCTTCAGTAAATATTAATATTCCATAAATATGAGACATCGTGAATACAAAGTGATAAACATTTACTACCGTTTTTGTATTAACCAGGAAAAGTAATCCTTACGCCAAATTTAAAGAATTTAAATCGCAGTTTAAATTTGAGACGCGGCTCAAATATGGTTGGTTCCACTTAAAATCTTTTTTAATTTTTCTAAATTTAAGCCGGCGCTCAATTGAAACCGGTTTTTTGGCGGATTTGAGATTCAGCTCAAATTCATTAAATTCGTACTCTGGATTAGTCTAAAGTCTAAAGGGTACCTGTGTGAATCGGGGATGGCACTCTTTAAATTGAAGGTCACTTACAATTACGGCTAATGTCCCTTTAAGTAGGAGGTGTGTTAGATCAAGAATGGGAATTTTATTGTAATTTCTTTTTTATTTGAGAATTTCTTTATATTTATTGGAGAGTTTCTTTATTTATTGGAGAATTTCTTTATTTATTGGAGAATTTCTTTATTTATTTGAGAGTTTCTTTATTTATTGGAGAATTTCTTTATTTATTGGAGAATTTCTTTATTTATTTGAGAGTTTCTTTATTTATTGGAGAGTTTCTTTATTTATTGGAGAATTTCTTTATTTATTGGAGAATTTCTTTATTTATTGTAGAATTTCTTTATTTACCGTTCGATTGCGTTATAATAAAATCTGCTGAGAAAAAAAACTCTTTCTTTTACCGGCAATTGAGTAGAACCAAATCATGGTACCCCGTCCAACAAGTTCAAGAGCCAGACCCGATAAGGGGCCCTGTAAAAATTTTTCAGAGATGCTCTTTTTCTTTTGAATAGATATATAGGAAACTAAGAAAAATCCAAAGTTTTATTTTACCATTATTTCTGCAGCCGCCAGAAAAACGTCATTTTTTGACATTTTTTAATTTGAGTGTTTAAAATGTTCGATAAATCCTCAGTTTTTAATTAAAAATGATGTTTTATATCATTTTGGAAATCCCAAATAATCTTCTAAAAGACAAACTTTAAAAAAATTACATTGTTTGAAAATTCGCCAATTTGATTAGCAAATTTAGCTGCAAAATCGTCGATTTTTCCGCTACGTCCATACACCTAAAGACTGGCACCTCGGCAATAAAACAAAATTTTTTAATCTCTTCTGTTTTCTGTATGGTGTAATGTTTCTAAAATGTGCTTATTTATTCATATATCTTCAGAAATGGCCGACCAATAAGCATCTTAAAAAAACTGCTGGCTTGGCTCTTGCACTTGTTAAACGGTGTACCCTGATTTGGTTCTAATCGATTACCGGTGGAAGACAGAGTTTTTAATTAGTATATTTTTTATAATACATTCAAACGGTAACAACAATACCTTTCCAACAAGCTATTAATCACGGAAATTCTACAATAAATAAATAATTTGCAATATAATTAGCATTTTGATAAAACACACCTCGTATGATATTTTATTTTACCTGGAAGGATTTTAGGATATTTATCAAGAAGAACTCACCAGCAAGGAAAAGTGTATCAATGAATGATATTTTTGACAAAAATGGTGGATTTGGTCCTTTATTCTAAATCTATACATACTTTGCTTGTCTGTTTGGATGTCTGTCCGTTTGTATCCAATAAACGTCAAAACGGTTTAACCCATCGGGCCCAAATTTTGTGTGGGACTTCACCTGACCCCAGGGAAGGTTTGTGAATTATTAAAATCCGCAAACTTTTTTTAGTTTTTTCTTTTTATACTGTACAAAAAGAAAAGATGCTCGCGATTAAAAGTTGAAATTAAATCAAATTGAAAGATTTTTTGTCTTGCAAATATAGTAAAATTAGATTTATCCAAGTTTTTCCATATTATTTAGTTTTTAATGTTGTTAAAATAAAAAACAAACGTCAAAAAAAGGAAGAATAAAAATACTCTCCCCCCCCCCCTCGAACAAAAAATACAGTAGAAGTCAAAAGTTACATCTACATAGTAAAGATCTTTGCTTATATTATGCAGGGTTACGCTCAAAGGATGAGACTTTAAATACGACTTGAAACTCTAAAAATATGACAAGTTCAATGTTAATATATGTCTTCTGTCCTAAATATTGTCATAAAATGTTTTATTTAAGGATTTTGTAAAAAAAAAACAAGTTAACAGGAATCATAAATATAAGGATAGAGACGGTATACGTTTCGTCAAGTCGCGTCTTCTCGTTAAGTCGTCTCTGAAGTCTCATCCTTTGTGGTTAGCCCTGTATGTTATTTATAAGATATACATAGCTGGCAAAACGCGGGACCAAACTGGTGGTAATATTAGCTGAAAAATTAGATTTTATCATGATTTTTTTGCTTCTAAATTTAAAATTTTCGTGCCTTGGTTCCCAATCTGTTAATAAAATTTTATTTTTAATTAAAAATAATTTTTTTTGATATTTTAGTAAATTAAGCCATGGATAAATTTTGAACACTTGAATTGTTAGGATTTGTTCAATGTAATCTACGGTCAGAAAATTATTCAAGATTTTAAAACAGGAAAACTAGACTCGGAGGGTAGACCGTTAGGTAGGATATTGGAAATTAAACAAAACTGATCAAAAAAATATCGATTATGATACAAAAATATTAATTGTGTCAGATAAAGTTGTATGTACAAATTTTGCCATTACCTTTACTGAACTGTACTGTACAGTGTACAGGGATGTAAACAAACAAATAGCTTCTAGTTCTGTTTGCATTCCTCATAGGCGCAGCAGTACAATTTCATGGAAACCTTAAAAACCGGAATTTATAAAGTGGTGTGTCAGATTCTCACCGGTATCCTTCAAACGTTTATCTGAATAATGATGTGGAAGATAACGTCGTTTTTCTAGCGTGAAAATGTTCAGTTCTGGTAATTCCTACAATGTTTTCCTGCAGCAAAAGTGAACAAGCCATCTTAATAGGAGAACCACAATTGAAAATAATCAGTTTTCCAAATTAAAAACATGCGACGGTTTATAATGCAAACCTTTTAAGGTTACCGTTGTGAATCGGACATGTCACTCTATAAATGAAGGGCCACGTGAAATATAGTCCACAGTCCCTTTCATGATTAATGTTTAGAACCTAGTCCTGTTGAGAAACTAACCTCAGAGCAGGCTTATATTAGGTTTGTAATATTACTCGTATTCAAGTTGTTATCATGATTCTATTTGATCCTAAAAAACTTAATTCGATTTATAAAAACGCCTTATTAACGTTAATAATGATTAAGTTAATTACATGATTTTGCTTCTTCAGTTTTATCTTCAATTATTTTTGTACTCGGTGCAAGTCGGAATAAACTCCAAAAATTGATTGTACATAAACTATTTAAATTTTTTGTTTTTATCATTAAAAAAATGAAATTTTGTTTTTTGTTTAGGGCCCGACAAACTGGTTCTGATATATTTCAAGGCGGCGAAGTTCCGAACAAAACTTACAAATTAGATATTCCAGTTGGCAAAATTTAAACAATGTACTGTACGGTACCCCAGGAGGACTTCAGTACTTAAAAGTTGTACTCTTGAATTTTACTTTTAAATTCATCAAGTTTTCTCCAAAGCCGCGGAGTTCAACCCCCCCCCCCCCCCTCCGGTACAGAATGCATGTCTATTTGTAGATATTTTGATCTCCACTGGTTCTGTTCTTAGAAAATGTAATAAACTGATATTTAAGAACACACTTACCCAGCAAATATGTTCAAATATCCTAATATCTCCGGTTTAATATTAAATACAGAGAAATATTTGATTTCAGATTAATTTATTAACAAAATGTCCAAGAGAGAAGTGTTAAAACTATACAAGGGAAAATTTGATATTGATCCTGGATAACATTGATGGGTTCGTAAGTTGCAAAATTTTGGAAGTTTTAGAAAATGTTACATATTTGTCATCTCTTGTGACAGCTTAAAATAGATGAGAGTTAACTTATAATGATTTAATTCGTCGAAAGGAGGGGGGGGNGTCGTTTAACCACCCCTTCTGTCCACATATAAAAAGTTTTCACTGTGGAAATTAGTTAAGATGGTGTAAATTAGAGCTTTAGTTGAAGGCGATGATGTCAATACAATGAAGACGACTTTCGAATTCAATTTTGAATTAATATAAGCTGTTAATCAGCATGGATACACAAACACATAGAAAGTCAACAGAATTTGTCGATTAAAAAAACTTTTATTATTTGTAAACTTGTAATTCAAAAAAGCTTGTAAACAATCTAAATTTAAATTAAAAAGTCGTCTTATTGTAGTTATATAATCACTTACCACCGTATGTGAAGCCTTTTGTCTTTGTAACATCAAGAGGAACTCGGCCAATTTGTGACGTTTAAAAAATCTCAAGTTTAAAAACGGAAAATGTCAAATTTGATCCAGGGTTTGCATAGAACAGTACAATCTGTGTTTAAAGGGGATATACCAGCTATGTGTGCTGCTAGGTAATATTTAAAATCATTCCATTGAGATTGAGATTGGGAAAATAATTTTCCTATTCGTTTTTCATCAGTCTTAAATCTATACCATGAAGACGACTTTTGATCTCAATTTTTAGAACAGTATGGATAAACATAAACCTGTAAAAACACAGAAGTTGTTAATTAAGAGCCTTTCTCTGTTTACTTGCAAACTTGTAATTTGGAAATAGATTGTTTTTAATCAAAACTTCAATAGAAAGTCGTCTTCATTGTCTAGATTGTATTGATATAAACGTGGACCACTGTACAGATTTTTTTCATTTTGGCTGATCATGTCCAATACACAACGGTACTCTTTAATCTTTTATCGGAATAATAAGAAAGAGAACATCGTCGTTTTCTATTTTGAGAAGATTCTGTCAGTTTCCTTCCTTGTTATTTCTCTTCAGAAATCCAGAAGTCTCTTGTATTGAAAACCCGCAGTTTAAAAATGCTACTTTTAAGAAAGAAAATCAAGAATATCATTATTATTCAGGCAAAGATTTAAAGGGTACCGGCACTGGTGTGAATCAGATTTTTAAACTTGTTAATAATTAGATTAACTTCAAATTCATAAGATATCTCAAGTTTTATTTTTTTTCTGTTTTTTCAAATAATTGTGAAAAATATATTTTTTTTTGTATTATTCATTAGATTTTACTTTTTTCAGGGATAAAATTTGTGATGAATTCAACAAAAACAGGAACAGTTCCTTAATCAGCAATTGAATTGAGAAATATAAAATTAAAACTAAAAACTCTTTTGGGATTAATCTGCAGAGCTAGTTAAACCTGATTTAAGATGCTATAGTGAAAATACTTTTCTGTCTGAACTTTTGTTTGTAGTATTATTAATCTTGAATCCTTGATTTCGATATCCAAAGTGAGAACTTTAAAATTGGAGAACAAATTCTTGATCTCTTTCGTTTATTACCACCACGGGATGTTGAAGCGGAAATAAATAATAAATCTGTAGATCTGTAAAATATGGAGATCAATGCTTGATCTAGAGATTTTTATCACAAAAGTTCTTTCGAAGTCCGAATTTAATGAATTTGAGCCGCATCTCGAATTCTTTAAATTCGGCCTCGGTTACTATTTTAAAACCACAAGATCAAAATCCTTTTTTGTTGTGTACATTTTGAGAAAGGTGTTGTTTGTTAGAAAAGTTAGTTCCGAAACTTCAATATCTGAACTTGTTAATCATGGCCGGGAGGTCAATCAAATACTTAGAGAAACAGTAATTCAGGTCAGTTAATATTATATCATATTTTCTACAATGCTCAGGATCCGGATCTGGATCCGTTGAATCCGCAAATTGTTGGCTTCCTGGATCCTGATCCAAGAGGCAAAATATCAACAGAAACCTTCCAAAACATGAATTCTTTCTCTCAAAACGCAAATCTTAACTGTTAACTAATTAGTCAATTTTTAAAACCTGAATGATTCATTAATTGCTAGCAAACAAAACAGAATATAAAGGATAATATTGTTGTTGTTGTTAAAAATAACCAGTAAATCTAAATTAAAGTTCATAACCTGGATCCGAAACTGTTTTTGGATCCGGATATATTTTTCAGTTTGGATCCAGGATCTGGACCCACATCTAAAAAAAATGGATCCTTTCATTTCTTAAAATTAACAATTCTCATTTAGATTCCTAGCCACCCTTTTAAGATATCAATCAAAACAGTAAATAATCACTTATTTTAAACACTTTAGGTAGAGTGTCTAAGAATTTCTAGCGACACCTACTTACAGGGTTGCTTTCCTAATTTCTTCTGAAGAGAAATTCTGAAGATAATTTGGTTTGCTTAAAGCGATTTGCCGATTTTTAAAATTTTTTAAGCAGATATATAGCAATGCAAAAACGGCGATTATATAGAAAAAGGTGTAAAGGGTAGGTCGTGTGTCATTGAAGAGTTGGTTTCATTGTGTTTATTTATTGAAACTTTAAACTTTCCTTTTTTAGATTAAAAAGGTTGACACTGAACGGTATCAAATGAAAATTAGAGAAGAAACGCATATGTTCGAGAATAATCCTTTTAGGTAAATCTGATTGAGTAATTGATTGATAAAGAAACTAATAGAGCTAGTTTCACAGTACACTGTACAGAGGGAGGAATCCGTCATGAGCCTCCGCTATACAGATCGAGTCTATGCAGTAAACGGGCTTTCGTCATACAGTGCAGCGTTTTGTTAATCTTGATGTATAATGAAGAATTTCTAACATTTTTTGACATAGTGGCATAATAATTTCACTTAAGATTATAGTTATGTATTGATTTTCATGATTAGAAACCTATATGCACTCATAAAGTGTTATATAAGATTTACACTAAATCTTTAAACATTTCAGAAAGGAAGATATTTGGGGAAATATTTCTGGAGTAAACTTGATTTGTTTTGTTGTAATCTTTGATTTAAGTTAAGCAATTCGAAAAAAATTAAGATTAAAAAAATTATCAAAACTTTCTAGAATTATAAAGAAAGATTAAAAAATTATCAAAACTTTCTAGAATTATAAAGAATTACAAAATCATCGATTAAATCAAAGATTATAAAAGATAAAATGAAATTAAATTCATATTTTTTGCCTGTAAATATTTTCTTTTTCATGCAAATTTTTTTAAATAGCACTTAAAATCTGGGAGGCTCTCATGGTGTATAGTGGAGGCTCATGGCCGCCAGGGGGTTCCCATCCTACTGCTTGGAGGTTGGAACTCTTGTGTGGAGTATCTATAATGTTGAACGTTTGATCTTGATATCCAAATATAGGCACTCTTAATTTAACGATCAATGCTTACTCCCAGATCCATGCTTGATCCCCTATCTCTTCCATTTAATTATCCCTTAAAGGTATGACTACTACTGGATATTGATTAAGAATTAGATTATTTTCATAAGTCTGCATAAGATTAGAGATCAATGCGTTATTCCTAGATTTATAATACAAAGGTTTGACTTCACTTAATATTGTACAGTGTACACAGTAAACCGTCAGTGTACAGATTAACTACAAATTAATTTGACTGTCAAAAGTTTTGCCTACAAATGGGAATCTGGGGAAATACCATACATTCCCATTTTACATTGTGATTTCTTAAAAGAAATGTATAATTATTTTATTTGTCAAAATTCAAACAATTTAAACAGAGAAAATTAATCATCTTAAATTATGCTTATTACTGCTGTGTTTGCAGAAGAATCAAAGAAAGCAAAGACGATTTTGCAAAGAAAAGACTAAAAAGGTTGAAAAGAGTAAAAGATATAATTAAACATTAAGGATCATAAAAATCGGCGTGAATTAAAAAGTTAAATTAAATGTTAGTAAACAATAAATAAGTAATTTTCCTTTCCTTTTTTATAATTGTGGGGGGGGGGGGTATTCCCACAATCTCTTTTTTGAGGTTTTAAAATATTTTCTTCTGAAACACTTTATTACAAATGTTTTTGTTATATTTCTTGACTAAATAGTTACTGATATTTAATATTTATAATTTGTTTGTTTTTAGAGAAGATATTACTGAAGAAGAATATAAAAATGCCAACAGAAGAAAAAGAAAAAGTGGTGTGTGCGAAGAGTCTCCTAGTCAACAGAAGAAATAATTAATTAAAAATACAGTTCACAGATTTATAACCGTACTAGGGTGTGATGAATTTTGTGAATAGTTACTTAGATGTTTAGTCATAAATTTATATTGTATCTCAATAAAACCAAATATTATTTGAAACTTGTTTAATTCAACTTAAATGTACTATGAAGAGTGGCATGTGCAATTCACATTGTTGCACTTTAAACCTCTACCTCGGTCCTAATAAGAAATTCATGTCTTTTTTTCAATGTAATAGTGCTGAATTATGTTTAACTGTCTCTTGAGCATATTTTTTTGCAGGGATAATATTTAGCGGGTAAATAAGGATTTACAATTTTTCCTTCATGAGACTTTATGTCTGAACTTGTTACCTCTCTTAACCTTTCTTCAAAGGTGTGTATTTCAGTTCTGAGACTCCATATTCCCCCCCCCCTCATTCTCTTTTCCCATTTTTTCTTCAATTATTACCCAACCCCTTAATTAATGTTTATCTGAAAGTTTAAATTTATTTAAAATTACCAACTCCTATCAAGAATTTAAAATTTCACTCGATTCACATTCCTTGGATCTTATTCCTAATTCATATTCAAAAACCAGAAGGGCAGTGTCCAATTCGTCCAATCAATGATCTGACAAGCAAATGCGTTTTAATCGTTGATCAGATCCTCAAACTGGTATTCTGGCACAATGTCGAATGTCGGAGATTATTGTTATAACCCAAAACAAGGTGTATCATAGATTATAGGAAGCAATAGTAATAATTTTACGTATATAAAGGCCAATAACATGCAAGATGAAGTCGAACAGATAACATGCCGAGGGAGGGGGTGCAGAGGCGCCATGATCCCCGCAAAAATGACCTCCGAGCCTCAGGATTTGCAGAATTACCTCCAGGCCCGGAAAACTGGTCTCCCAGCCTCAGTGACGTCACCAAGCCTCCCGCCATTCTGTCTCCACGCCCCGCATTTTGGCTCCAATAAAAAAATATTTGGCTTTTATTTCCACCAAGAACCTTTTTTTAAAAATTCTCAACATGATGAACTAGTTCAGAATGATACATTAACATTTTGTATTAAAAAGTGAATTTTAAGGGAAAGAAACCCTAGTGCAAAACAGGAAAAATATCTGTCTTAAAAACTATAATATGCGTGAAAAGTTAAAAATCTAGTTTTTTAGTCTTTAGTCATAAATTTTGACTCTTATTGAGTCTTTTAAGCCAAAAAAAAATTTCGTCTGCGGCGCGATTTTTTGTTCCTAATTATGAATTTGTTTGTTCCTAAAAAATCTTTCCCCCTCACTTAAATCCTGTATCCGCCCCTGGTCAAATATGACAAGGAAAACGAAATTTACTCTCATTAGTTGACAAGTTTTTCAAGATTAAGTAAAAAAGTTTAAAAATTGAAAATAAACAACGCATACAATTGTACCTATTTCACTGTCAGATTCATTCTAAAATTATCACTGTTATTAATAATTTGTCGGACACAATACTAAGTTGACACTTGTGATGTAAGAATACAGCTGTACTGAAAGTGTACAAACACTACGCTGCCATCTATTGTAGTTTGGATCAATAACAGATCGTTAATTATATTATAGCTTGAATCCCGGTTAGTTTATTATGAATTTTATTCAATTTAATTCATTGCATGAAAATGTCGCTTATAGTGTTGACTTAAATATATATATTAAACTTAGTTGTAATGGAACAATTAACAATACACAAATGTGTACTGTACTGTCTACAAATGCCGAGATTCTTCTGTACTTTATAAACCTACAGTAAAACTATTCGGTTCCTTATTTAAGCCTTAACAGACATGTCCGCCGAGGGAGGGGGTGCAGAGGCGCCATGATCCCCGCAAAAATGACCTCCGAGCCTCAGGATTTGCAGAATTACCTCCAGGCCCCGCAAAACTGGTCTCCCAGCCTCAGTGACGTCACCAAGCCTTCCGCCATTCTGTCTCCACGCCCCGCATTTTGGTCTCCGCTTGTTGTTTTTATTTTTTGTTTAAANCGTCCGCCCCCTCCCCCACCTTGTTGGTTTCCTTTATAGTTTTGATCAAGGCGGAAAATTGATTGATATTTAAGATAATTATGGACACACTAAACCACAAATATAAATTATAATTCATCATCAACTAGCAGATGTTATTATCAGAGGTCAAGTTGAAGGGACTGTATTTGGACCCTTCATGCAAAGATTCTCAACAGAACCCTTGTAACATTTATCTGATATATGACGATAAACGTTACAAGAGAAACCACAGTTGAAAAACAACAATCAGTTTATAAATTTAATAACATTAAAATATTATACACTTTACCAGACGATGCTATTAAAGGTACTGTTGTGAATCCGACATTACATCTTTGCATGGAGGGCCGCTTGACATCACGCTTTGCAGTTCTTCCAGTGAACTTTCTTCAAAATTCACATAACTGATTGATGACTTAAAACTAAAAATTTGTTTATTTGCTTCCATGTATCAAATCTAAAATAACTGTAGACATTTTTTGAGTATTCCTTTAAAACAAGTATAACACAACTATTTTCATAAGACAAAGGTTTAAAGGGTATCCTAGTTAATTGGACAGTCCTGTCTTAAATATTGATGATCATTTGAAATTAAGTTTAGACTACACTGTTGGAAAAATCTGTGTTGTATTATAGTACACATAAGTAGGTCCGTTAAACTAGAAATATGTATTATATAATGCATCATGATACTGCCAACTAGAAATATGTATTATACATTTCACATAGACTCTATGTCTTTCACTTTACAAACGATGATTTTCCGTTATAACTATGAATTCTAAATTGAAATGGATAGCCTAGGGAACATACTCTACTGCATATAATTTGTGAACATTTACATGATTTGTACACTTTGAACTACCTTTCAGGCTGAAAGGGACTGAAAAAAGTCATACCGAGGGATTGTCCAAATTCCAATATTCTATTCTCTTCGTTTTAAAGTCTGAAGCTTTCAAGGAAAAATTTTTGAGAATTTTGCTAATTACTTCTTAAAAACCAGAGCAAACAACGATTGCGCTGTTATGCTAAAATGTCAAGGGCTTCAGAAAGGCATAAATGAGTTATAGCGGAAAAATGAAAGCACAAGGCGATGCAACACTTCAAAGTCTCGACCCCTCTTTAAATTGATGAGACTTTTTATAAGCAGGCTGAATCTATATGGGGGGNGTAATTTATTGCATTTTAAAGAGACTGATTCATTTATATGAATGAGTTACCTATAATTTCTCTGTAAAAATGGTTATTTGAAAATAATTAATGGATAATCCTACAAAAAGACGCCAGAAACAATCATTCATAAAAAACGAGAATTTTAAGAACAAACGAAATAAATTTTTTTGAACGTTTTAAAATTCTAACGAAATAGGTCAAATTCACAAACAATGAACGAACCAAATGAAAAAGCGAGAACCTACCTCTATCTACCAGGGAGATTCGTTAAAAATGGTCGGAATTAAAGGGAGTGACCGGCTATGTAAGGTAATTGAACTGAGTATGCAGTGTTGTGGAAAGCTGCTTCTTTCGGATTCATTTGGGACAACTTAAACTTTTTAAAGATCTATAAATCCTGAGTTTGAGCGCAAATTCGACGTTCAAAACTCCTACTTTGGGGGTTGATACGTTTTCAGAATTAGTTCTTTTAATGATTAAATAACGACAACGAGAAGTAAAGAAAAAATTATAAAGCAATCTTATTAGATGGTTAGGAAAATATTTCTCAAAAGAAATTTGTCAATAAATCAATGCTAAAATCGATTATTGAATCAATTGAATTTCTAATTTTCTTTGAATTTATTTGCTGATTTCTTTAAATTCTTCAAATGTCGTCTTTTCAATGATAATTCTAGAAAATCTGCGAAAATCTTTGTGAATAATGAGAAACCAGAATAATGAGAAAATACAAACTAATAATTAAACAATTTTACTTATTTTCGATGATAAGATTAATTTTTATTTTCTCAACATGTTCCTATATCTGTAGTTTATTGTAGGACTTTTTTACATTTTATGTCGTCGTTATTTAATAATTAAAAAAATAATTCCGAAAACGTATCCACCCCCAAAGTAGGAGTTTTGAACGTCGAATTTGCGCTCAAACTCAGGATTTACAGATCTTTGCAAAGTTTAATATGTCTCAAATGAATCCAAAAGAAGTTTTCCATAACACTGCGTACTCAGTTCAACTACCTGACATAGCCGGTCACTCCCTTTAATAAATAGCAAGAAACTGTTTCTAAAAAGGTAAACTAGGCACAGAAAGTTAAACTACTATTCATCAATTCAGATCCGAGGATCGTTTTTTTTGCGATAACTCAAAAAGTATTTGAGCTCAATATTTCTGGCTTTTCTAACTAACACATTCCCCTCACTTAAGGCTGAAAGCTGGGCTTTTAAACCTATTGCCTCCTCAGGCATACTGCCTAAATGCCTTATTTTACCTACACCATACTCAAATCTATATTTAAACCTACTTCCAGTCATTTAATTTTAACATTCCACAGCTTTAAAAAACCTACAACAAAAGCACGCAAATTGCACAATTTTGCAAAGAAATTTTGCAAAGATTTTTGCACAGACGCCTTCAAAGAGAATTTTCACATTTTCAGTTTTTCTTGGATCCACATTTAGGTTCTAAAAATTTTGCAAATATTTTGCATATTTGAATTCGCAATTTATTTTTTGCACATTTTTTACTTAACTAGATTTCGCAATAAATATTTGGAATTCTGCATATTTGCCATTTTTTTGAAGGTTATTGACGTAGAGACCAAGGACTTTCCAAAAACGTATCAAATGTTATGGATTTGTATCACAAAAAGAAAATAGAGAGGGGGGGTCAATTTAACCCTCCCCCCCCCCCATGCAACCAGTCAGTAAAGAAGACGTCAGGCTAATAAGGGTTAATTATACTATCATCATAATTTTTAGCAATGGCTTTATTTATCAAAGTAAATATATTTTTTAAATCCACTGTTTATTTGTGCAAAAATGTTCGACATATATATCTCGCATAGAAGTAGAACTCAGTACATATATATCTCGCATGCTATGTAGAACTCAGTACATATATATCTCGCATGCTATTTGAAAAAACCCG